AATAGAAAGGAATAATAATAATTACTTTTGTAATAAAATTAGAAATAGAGTTAGCTATTCGAAAACAATTATATATTACTGGTATTAATATAAAAATAGAAAAATTTTACAAATCCAAACTAACTATACAATACCAAAAATACTAAGGATTTGGATATCAGAATATACATTATAGAAAGAATCCCTTCTATAGACTTTGTAAGGACAAATATATAACATCAATACACTTATATATAGTCTATAATATCAAAGGAAAGTTCTATCAATATCTAACTGCCAAATACTCGAATTGCTAAAGAAAGTATACAGCAAATTCAAGAATCTGCAAAATCTATTAAGCAATTTAATAAAAAGCAGATAATATCAATTTATAAGCTATACTAATATTCGAATTCTTTAAATAAATCTTAATAGAAGTTTACAAGTTATAAAGAATATTCTACAACTTGTAATAAAGCTTAATATTAACCTTATTATAATTCAAGAACCTTAGATTATTAAAAATAGAATTGATTACTTAAATTCAAGATTTATTATATACTTCAATTTTATATAAATACTATTAAGATTCGATTCTAATCACCAGCCACATATACTATTATATATATCAAAAACTCTTTAAGCTATAATCAATCTAACTTCCAATTCTCCAATAGATTCTGATATACAAATTTTCAATTATCAAAATGGAAACAAAACCTTTTAAATTATCAATATATATAACGAAGCTGATCAAGCTAAAGAGAATGGTTTCATAATCGAAAGGTGTTTATATAATATATCTATTATACAAGATATCATCCTTTTAAACAACTTCAATATCTATCATTTATAATGGGATCCTTTTTTTAAGAAAAGTGGAAATACTAATCAACTAATCAAATAATTTGAAGATCAGAATCTTATTTTTTTAAATGAACTTGGAATTAATACCTTCTATCAAACTAATCTTTTTAATTCAAGTGTTCTTGATCTAACACTAGTATTAGAGGGAATCTCTTCTCAAATTTACAATTGGCAAACACTTTCAGATATAGGATCTGATTATGCAGGAATAATATTCGAATTAAAAGGAAAAGAAATCCCAATTATTCTTAATACTAAATCAACAACTAGATATAATACTAAACTAGCGAATTAGGAAAAGTTTGAATCAATACTCAAATCGGAATCCTCATATTCCCCTATTCTTTCTACTTTAGACTCAATCACTTCAACTGAAGAGGATTCCTTAAACCTCTTGAAATTAAGCAATGCTTGCTCAGCCAAGATACAAGGAAAGACTCCTGGCCCAGATGGAATCACTCAAGAAATTATTATAAAGGCTTATAAAGCAATCCCACAAACCTTTTTTACTCTTTTCAACAAACTTCTTAATCTTAGATATCACCCTAAATACTGGAAACAAGCTACTAAAACTATCCTAAAGAAAGCCTCAAAACCTGATTATTCACTTCCAAAAGTATATAGAGTGATTGTATTCTTAAACTATTTTGGAAAAATTAGTGAAAGGATTTTAGCTCAACGATTAGGTTTTTTAGTGGAAATTATTTACCTTCTATATAAAAGCTAAATAGAAGGTTAGCAAAAGAAATCAATAATTGATACTGCATTATTATTAATTATAGAAATCGAAAAAAACAAGTAAGCTAATAAAAAGATCTCAATATTATTTATGGATATAAAGAAAGCTTTTGATCATATCTTAAGAAATCGATTATTGGATATCTATAAGAAGCTAAGACTATCAATAAATCTTATCTCCTGGATAACCTTATTCCTGTAGCAAAAACAATTGAAGTTATTCTTCAATAGCCAAACCGAATCCTTCAAGCCAATTTCAATTGGAATACCACAAGGCAGCCCAATCTCCTTAATCCTTTTCCTTATATATATCAGGGATCTCTTTCTATTTAATTCAATAAAGTTTCTTTCTTATATAGATGATATTGCTTTAATCACTAATTTATTTATTTAGAAAAAGAATATTAAATCTTTAGAAAAAGCTACAAAACAAATCTACAAACTCAATTCGAAAAATTCTATTCAATTTGATTTAGCAAAAACTAAGCTAATACATTTTTCGTTATTAAAACTAACGAAAAACTATTCAATCATACTATCTAATTCTAAAACAATATATCTCAATCTCTAATTAGATAGCTGGGAATATGGTTTGATTTAAATCTCAAATTTAATTAATATGTTAATATTCGAATTATACAAGCTAAAGAAGCTTTTTATTGAATAGCCTGATTAGCTAATATCAAAAAGAACCTTAGTCCTAAAGCTCTCAGATAGCTATACATAGCATGTGTGATTAGCATAGCTGATTATGGTTTAATGATTTGATGAAGAGATCAAACTTATTTCAAGAATATGATGTAATCACTTTAAAACCTAGCCTTTCGTAAGATATTAAAAGTATTCAAAACAGCTCCAATTATTCTAATAAAAGTAGAAGTCAGCCTAAAACCTTCCAAAATTCGATTAAATTCAAATATCAGATAATACGCTTTTCGATTAGCCAAATTATTATTAAAACATTCAATCAATATTGAAAAAGAAATTTCAGCTTAATATCAAGCCAATTTAGGAGTAATCCCTATATCTCGAAGAAAACGATATAAATCTATTCAACTAAATAAAATCAGAAAATCGATAAACCAGAACTTCAACCCTTTTTTATTCGAAAAGATTATTCATTTTAACTTTTTTTTATGGAAAAGAGATATTCTCTTTAAAGTCAATATTAGTAATTCATTAAAAGAAGATACTGTTATTCTTTATAATATTATTTTCAAATACAGGGATAAGGATATTACCTATATTTATATTGATGCTTTTTTTATTGGAAAGGGAATTAGCATTGGGGTAGGTATAATAGCTATATAATTAAATAATCGAATTCTATATCAAGAGTAAAGCAATATTGATATTAATCAATTAATATATAATAAAAAGCTTTTTGAAATTACAAAAGCTATTAAATATACTAGTTTCATTACTTGCAGTAATCAAAAGTTCAAGATTTATTTAGACAATCAAGTTGGTTTATATCACCTAAAAACTTTTTTAGATTATTTAGGATAAGTTTATCAAATAAGAGCAATCAATATAGTAAAGATTATTAAAGTAAAAGGAGCCGAAATCTTATTAAATTAGGTTTTTGACTATATCTTAGTTGAAGGAAATGAGCTAGCAGATAAACTAGCTAAAAAAGTAATCATAATATAATTCATTTTGAATAAAACAAGCTTTGGACTATTAGATATGATTGTTAAGGAATATACTTCAGATTAATAATTTGATATCTTTAATCAATATAAATTCAAATCAAATCAATCCCCATCAATTTATTTGAAACTATTTCCTTGGAAAATAGGTTCGAAAATCAAGTTATTAAGTGAAATCAATCGAAACATTGCTAATATATTCTTTCAATTCAAATTAAATTATGGATATATCAAATCCTATTTATATTGCTTCAAACTTTCCAATAATAAATGTATATATAATAATATCGAGGTATTATAATACCTCTTTATTAGCTATCCTATATATAAAACTAAAAGAAAAGAAATCTTTAAGAAGATACCTTTATCCAAAATCACTATACAATTCCTACTTTATATCAAAATTAGTATCAAGTTAGTTATCAAATTCATTAATATCATCAAAATAGCTACAAGGGTATGGCATCTGGTTAGAGCTTTAATACAAAACGAAATAGGAGAAAGAGAAATAGTAGAAAAAGAAGAAGATGCAATAATAGAGGGAGAAAGAGTTATTACAGAAATGGAAGGAATAGTAATTGAAAAAGAAAAAGAAAAAAGGAGAAGTTTTTTTCTAATTTCTTAAGTGTTATACTTTCCTTTCCTTATTATATACAATGCATATAATAAGTGGGTACTAATCCCCAACATTTGTTTTTACTTCTCTAAATCGAATATATCCATCTTTGTAGAATAAAAAGTTACCTGCTAGAGCCTCTAGAGGCCTAGCTGTCCTATATAGTCTTAGACTGAACATGGACGTAAATGAAATCAATCAATCAATTAATCAATATAGATTCTAGCTTTCTATAAATGCTAGCCTCAAATTCTAGCCTTATAATACAGATTCTAACTTTGAGATTTTATGAATTCTTATTTCAAATATTATAGTTACTAGACTAAAAACAATAGAGTCTAGCTATTATAGAATCCCAGTGGTATGAGAATAAATTTAGATCAATTTTAATAGCATCAGAGCAATTTATCGTACTTTATATAGCTAAAAACGGATATCCCGATATCAGTGTTCGATTATTGGAAGCGGGTGCTGATATTAATTTCACTGGAATAAAGAAATAGGGGTTACATCTACACATTCCCCTTTCTCGCGATCGATTGTGCGGAGATGCAGAGTATGAGGTTGGGGGCAGGGTAAGCTGCGAAGATGGATATTGTAGATGAGGAGAGTAGAATTGCATGAATGATGGTGGTAAGAAGTTGGGTATGAGGTGTTGGTTAGGGATATGCTGATAAGAGGGGTGGAAGTGAAGGTGATGGTGAAGGTGATGGTGAAGGTTGGGGGGGATGGGGATACATTTTGGGGATGGTGATTAGGAAGGGATATGCAAATGTTGTGGGGTGTTATTGGAGAAAGTGGTGGATTTGGAAGAAGGGAATAGTTTTGGAAAGATGACTTTGGATATTGCGCAGGAGAAAGGTGATGAGGAAAATATCGCTTCATTGGAGGGGAAGAAAGCTGAAGATGAATAGGGAATAAAGTAGATGTAGAAATAGTTTGCAGTATGGTTTAACAATAAGTTCTCTGTGGATTGGTGTCATTTCGTGCAATAAATCTATCCGACTGGGCACTTGATACCAATACTCAAAATTCCGAAAGCTTTTCTTTTTTTTTAGAAAAAAAATACACCACGACTCAACTATTCGGCGAGACATTGAACAAGAACATACAAGACTCAAGTGAGGATGCTCTCTCGTAACTCAAAACTAAAGATACATAACAGCCAATTTTCCAGGCTCAGGATTCTGAACAACAGCCTTGATTCCCTCATCCCATTGCTCAATCGAGAATTCACCCACGATTTCCATGCCACCCGCTTTTCCAAGTTTCAACAATCCGCTTTCAACAAGTTTGATAAGTCCTTTTACGTCCTCCCTCTCATACATATACTGTCCCCGAATCGTAAGGTTTTTCATGACCGCCATCATGTATGGAATATCAATATCATTAGACGTCACTCCCATCAATGACGCTCTCCCATAATCTCTCAATGACATCAAACACGCTCTGATATAACTCGAGCCATTTGCTTCCTGGGGTGACAAATCCAAGTATGCGTCGACCGGGCCCAAAGGTTCGATTCTCGCAAGATCTTCCTCGTAGTTGCCAGTGGTCTGTACGATCTCGACGCGTTGATTTGCCGCGGCAAGTTTCTGCAATTTTGACAAGTTCCTACTGACAGCAATGACACGTGCACCCATCGCCGATGCTACTTCCACGGCAGCGCTACTAAACAACCCAGTGGCAGGTGCCACAATGACCGTTTCTCCGGCTTTGAGATCGATTCCTCGAAATCCTCCATAAGCTACCATATACCGAGAAAGAATTGAAAGATCTCCGAGAGAATAACCAAGACCTCCTTCGGCTGGACTTCCCAAGAGCTGTTTCTCATTCAATGCATAAACATTCTCAAGCGGTGACTTCACATACTCAGCTAATGAGCCATCACGCCAAACCTCGATGAGCTTTTTCGCTTTGGGGTCTTGTCCAAATACACCAAGACCCCATAGAATTTTAACATCCGAATTGTCCCGACCTCGAACAAAAGGCTCGATAGTCACAAGTTGGCCGATAGATAAAGTGGTGGTGTCTGGCCCGATGGCAGCAACGCGACCAACGGCGCGACCGCCAGGGATAAATGGTGTGGGTGTATACAGGTAAGGCATTTTTCCATCAAGAAGTTCTTGAATACTGGGCTCAATGCTTACAGCGAGAACTTTGACGATGAGACTTCCAGGACCGGGCTGGGGTGTGGGAACGGTTTTGATAGTGAGAGGTTGACCTTGGGCTTCAGCGTAGAGTGCCCGCATGGTAGTTGGAAGGGGAGAATCTGTCGAAGACATAATGATGTTTGGGTAAGGGATCCGAGATCAAATGAAGCAGAGAATCTTGTTTGTTTATTTTCCCAAGAAACCTGAACAGACATTTATATAATACCTTTTCGTAGACAAAACTCCCTTTTCCCTTCCACATTGTCGCGCGCGACATATAAATTCGATAACTCCGCACAAAAGCCATCGGAATTACATGGTCAAGATCCCTTAACTCCATCATTGGCATTGCCCAAGAATATTTATATGATCTCAAGGTATACTTTTGAGTCTTCAAAGATGACATGAAGATGTATGTACCTATGTAATCCTCGAAGATACAAATCAGGATTAGTTTGAAGATTGCCCGCTAATGAAGCACGACCTAGGCGATATACGGACTAGCAAGTGAGTGAATACGATGTGTGGTTAGCGTGGGCACCAGAAGTGGGGCGACATGAGGGGTGTGTATCAAATCCGTCCTTCTGAAGCTTATTCTTCCCCTTCACCAACTCGCTTATGTTTCCTTCCGTCGTATATTTTGATTTCTTCTGCTTGTTGATACGAGTGTATATACATAAACAGACACAATGAGATTGTGATGTGATTGCTCGAAATACTTACTCAAGCAGCCGATATCATGCCTGTCAAGACGCAAGCCGATGTTAAGGAAGACAGCCAGCGAAAGCGGAGAGTCCATAAAAAGTCGCGAAAGGGTTGTCGAAACTGTAAGCTGCGGAGAGTTAAGGTGAAATAGTTCCCATGGATCTTGGCTTGGTACGTTGGACTGACAACATGATATTCCTTAGTGTGACGAGACAAGACCGCGTTGCTTAAAGTGCAAAGATTATGGATATGCATGTAATTATGACTCCAAAACGCCAGATTTGGAATTGATCTATTCTGAAACTCCTACAATTGCGAAATCGCGAATTGAACCTTTACAATCATCATGGTCTATCGATTCTACACCATCTCAACAGATGGCCGGCATCCCCACTACCTTAGAACCATTATGCGTTGTCGGCGATGACATCTCGTCATTTGAGCTTGATAGACAGAGCCTCGATCGACTAGATCGCTTTCGGCACCGAACCGTTCTTACCCTTGGAACCCCGACTGCTGCAGGAGTATTCCATGAATTTGCCGTCTTCATGGCCTGTGAACATCCCTTCCTAATGCACGCTCTCCAAACCCTCACTGCCTGCCACGACCGATATCTTACCCTCCATCACGCAACATCATCGCGTCGCACATCAACAGAAGCCTATCACCTATCCCGCGCCGCTTCACTCTTTAACCAAAAACTCTGCGCCCCAATCGCAAACAACGACAAAGATGCTTTGTGGGCCACAGCAGCACTTCTCGGAATCGTAGCCGTATCATCAATCGAAGCTTCCTCTCCCTACGAAGCATGGCCTCTCACCTCATCAGCAGATACCGATCTCGACTGGCTACGTATGAGCGAATCGAAGACCGTTATTTTCGAGCTCACAAACCCCATGCGCAAAGATAGTATCTTCCATGTTCTATCCATCGATTACAATAATGCGCACTACAAACGCGATGGGAATCTCGATCTCTCATCCCTTCCGACTCATTTCATGGAACTCTTCGATTTAGACGAGTATTCGACCGTTATTAATAATCCCTATTATCTGACCCTCATATCTCTTCAGCGTATTATCAACATCGAATGCAATCGATCAGCCATGTTATCTTTCCTCGGTTTCCTGACCAGTATTTCTCCGCAATACAAAATTCTTCTGAAAATGAAAGATCCAAAAGCTTTGCTTTTACTGTCATATTGGTATGCGAAAGTCTGGAGAATAGTCTGGTGGGTAGAACGCAGAGCGATTCTGGAATGCCAAGCTATCTGTATTTATTTGGATAGATATCATAGTGATGATCTGCTGATTCAAGAATTGTTGTTGTTCCCAAAGCGAGAGTGTGGTTTACTTGGTTAGTGGAAGTTATTGATGAGACAGACAGCAATAGAAGTGAGGAATGAAGACCCGAGGCCAAACATTCTGGCTTTACATTTGCTTTCAATTTTGTCGTAGATATCATAATTGATCAAAATTCAATAACCAAGAGACTCTCAGAAACTTTCTGGGTCATGGTACCTGCGTACTAGTCAAGAATTGGATTGCAGGGCGCGATAGTAAGGGGAGCTAGAATTGATCAGATCATGTTTCGAATCGCACTGAAGCATTTAGTTCATTTGCTTCATAATAGTTCTTCATTTCCTGAATTTCAAGCCATTGCATTCCTGAATCCAACCTCGAGCTTCGCGAAAGTTACACGCTACGCATCTAAAATTTTCTTAGGGCGGGAAGAAGGAATGTTAATCGAACGAGGGGGCTGTTGTAACGAACTTCAAATCGCAACCTTGCTTGAAAGTCCTAAAATTGAGTTATAAAATTTTCTCAATTAAAGAGTATCATTAAACTATATCCGGCTCTAAATTATGCCAAAATCCCGTGCGAACGGCTTTCTAAATCACTCAGGCAAACAGAGTGCCATCAAAGTCCTTCCCACTTGTAACATTAGTTAAGGTCCAATTTCCAAAGCAAACGTATTCATAATTTGCCATGGCTGTCGCATTACTCTGACTCTCCAAAAATTTGCCCATTTCGCACATTCCATCTACTCTGCCTTTGCAAGCACCACCTCGAATGGTATCTAATGGAAGTATACCATTATTGAGTCTCATTCTGATAAATTTGTTCGTGGCGTTTGCGGGATCATATCCATATTGTGTTGGTGTGTATTGAACCTTTGAAGTTTTTTCAGCCTTTGGGTTAGCTGAACTACATCCAATGGTTTCGGTAATGAGACGAGCGCCGAATGGGGTGATTTGTGAGAGAATAAACTTTCGCTTTGAGTTAGGTGGGTATTGCGTTAGGCTTGGAGCGTCCCGAAAGTAATCCATACTCATTGCTGTTAAAGCAGATACGATAATATCGTCGTGGGAGAAATCGGCGTAGAACTTTTGGTCCAATGGGAAGGTAGTTGGGTTATCGTCGAGCGTGGAATTCACGGATGAGTTGGAAGAGGTGATGGATTGGTGTTGAAGACGGGCAAGGAGCTCTTGGACATATCCAAGTCCTTGAGCGCGTCCAGTAGGATTTCCATACGAATAATCGTACCAGTCTGGTGGAATTATCAGTATGAGCACCATGAACATCACCGAAGCCGCAAACTTACATATCATATCTAAAGTATTCTCAAACCCAGCCCACTCGTCTTCGGTGAACAACCCACAAAAGTCGCTCATACCAATATACGCATGCTCGTATGCGCAGATGCTTTGCATAGCATAGGTATCATTGTATGTCAATTCAAAACCAGAAGGTGCATATTTCTGTAATCTTTTGGTCGCGCTTCCCAAGTATTTAGGAAGATAAGTGTAAAGATCCAAATCTCCAATGTTCCAAATACCATCAACATAATCGTTGAAACAACTATCATATGAAGCCAAGGTATTATTCTCGGTTCCTCCTTCAGGAATAATTACCACATCAAATCCAGCAGTCACGTTTTCGAAAGCCGGATCTGGGATGGTGGAATAACTTGGACCAAAGAATCCTAATGCCCAATTAATTTGACTATTCTCGATTCTCGATTGTGAGGTCGTGCGCAAAGTGATCTTAGGACGTGCAGTGCCGTTAGGATATAGAGGGTCGTAGGCAAGTTGCCCAACGGATGCATTGTATAAAGTGCGACCGTATCGATTCCAGAAAGAAACACCAGAAGTGAATTCTGTAATCGCACCCATTCCAGTCAGAAGACCATTGTCGACCAATGCGTATTCATAAGTGTTGAGGAAAGCAAGAGGACCAGTGAACGTCGCGTTAGTAGAGGTTGAGGTGAAGTTTGTAACCTTCTGAGCAAATCGCTCATCATTCACGCCATCATCTTCTGAAGTTGTCTGAAAACGCTGTGCATGCCTTTGGAGGGTTTGTACCGATTCCTTGACTAAGATTAGTTGGTTATTCAGGATCAGGAGAATAGCAACGTACAACTTGACAACCTTCTGGAAGCCCGACATGATCTACACCGAAATAATCTTCTTCGTTGTCAGAATAGGGAGTCATTTCTCCCCAGTACTTTTGGATTCGATTGATATCAGTTAGAAGCTGGGCGGCAGTAGCCGACGCCAGCAAGGCATTAGTGGCAACCAATGTAGAAAGATGCATCGTGAGATGTAATCAAAGCAAGAAAGAGAGTAAGAAGAATTGAAGATCTAACAAGGATTTCACCGCTTTGGTTTGAGACTTGGGATTATATATGATTCTTACCATTGGAGAGGTTTCTATGTTTGGAAATCTGAAGGGACGATCGTCGTTCCCTCACCAGGCTGGTTTTATCGGAGCAGCGATATGAGCACTTACTCTGCTTTACCTCCGGCCTTCCTAAATCGAATAAAATACGCACGTTGCAAGTAGTGGCATCATGATTCCACTATTCTCATGCACGTCGAAGCATAGTCCCCTTTATCAGATCACTTCATGTCAGGAACAACCTCGTCGCCTCTCAACAATCCCAAAAAATGTCCAGCCATCTTTAATAAGGATGACGTGGGTAAACGCTAGCCTTGCATGATGGCCAATCCACGTCGTGAAGTTCGGGATAGCTGTAGCTTAATAAATGGGCTTCTTTGCACTTTTCGAGCATTTCATTTGTTGCAAATCGGTATATACTCGGGAATTAACCAGTTTCGTCCCATGGTGATTTGTATGGAGTAGCGACTCAAGCTTTTCTGGGATGTAGCTCGGGGTAGCCCCCCGCCATCGGCCAAAAAAGAGAGTTTATTTGATGACCTCGTAATAAAAATAAAATTGTTCGAATTCTTATCTCTTACCATACAATGTCGATAGAGATAGTTGGTAATATATAGCTCAAAAGTAATATGTACAAGAAAGTAATTAAAACATTAATTGAAAGTCAGTCCAGAAATAACGATTGTGCACATGTTCCATGCAATCATGAAGATAGCCTCAATTCCAATCTCCTCCATAATCCACCTCTCCTGCGCCTCCTCCTCTGATTGACATAAGAATCTCAAAATTGAATAAGGAATAGCGAACATAACAAGCCAAAAAAACAAGGACTTCTATCAATCTACAACGACAGAAATGAGATCGCGGAAGTATCAATCGTATCGAGAAAGGAAAAATAGAACCTCCAGCATTAAGAGTAAAAGGACGGAATGAATGGACCTCTCCGAGGACGACATCGAAGGTAAAATTAAAGAATTCTCGCCGGTAGAGTTGTTAATGTCGCCTTTACGCAGCCGGCTCTTGTGAATGTGCGTCATTACCACCCACTGTCACAATTAAAGAAGCGGGCGTCGAATCATTTACTGCACCGCATTGATTGATACCTCCATCAGGTGTCACATCATCATACGGAAAGCAGTAACCGAGGCCATCAACGTTTGCAGCATGGACGATTCTCGCATAATGATTCGTGATTGCATTTTCGTAATATGTCGACACCACTTCTTTATCTGGCTGGGAAGAATTGACAAGAAGCGTCGATCGATTGAATGCGGCATCAAGTCTTGCGCCAATATTCAAGAGTTGGTCAGTATTGGTAGGCTGGGCTGCAAAGGCCCCTGTCGCGCCACCAAAAATGTCTGCAGATGATGGCTTGGTAAAGGAGCCGATGCTATCAAAGGTGAAGGAAGTGAGGTCGGAGGTTGATCCGGAAACATCTCCCCACGATGCTTGAGTATTGACAGTTAGGGAAGTGCTACCATATTTATCCCACACATCATTGATGTAACTGGTCCAATATCCTTCGAACAGTACCGGATTGAATACGATGCCTGCCGTTGGATTAAGGGCTCTCAGATTCGTACCGTTATTCTCCACAATGAGCTGGCTCCAACCGGCCCCGTCGATCGCATCTTGTGCTACTAGACCTTTGCAAACTGTCGCTAGTCCATCTGAGGGTAAACCTCCAACGTGTTTCACTGCACCACTTGTACTGTTCAGTGTCAAAGCGACAGGCAGGCACACAAAATCGACGTAGGTGATGTTTGCAAATAGCTCTGAGCTATTGTATGTAAACTCACAAAAATCCCAATTTTTCAAGTAGTTTGGATCAGAGGTATTGTTGACGGAGGGCTCAACCAATGCAGGCCCTGTAATCCCAACATCGAGCAGAAATGTCAAAGTATCTTCGATGCAGAACCAAATCCGACCGCCTGCAATATTTGGAATAGTGACCTTCGTAGTAGACCCTGGTTCTCCAAGTGGAATGGCACAGTCTTCTGTCAAGGCAGATCCGTTAGATGATGGGTTTGTAGGGTAGTACAAGGTCGACCCATCAGCTTGCAGGAGCACCACGGAATTGTTGTTATTGATGGCAAGGCCAGTGACGTATGCGTAGACGGTGCTCGAAGAACTTTGATTGACAAGTTCTATGGTAAGTGTGCTGGCAGTATCTTCAGTCTCGACTGTTTTGATTTCGGGTGGGCACAGAACGTTCTCCTTCTTCTGCCTTGCGATCACATCCGAGATAGTAGTCATTGCTGCAAATATTAAGTGGATGTGAAACTGTTGTCAGCTCTGGAAGTTGTTCTCTATACTGGTATACTATTAAACCCTTCTCGTGCCGAGGGGGGGCTTATTATAGTGTCAGAAACAGTGTGAATATCGATGACCAGGTTTAACACTGTGGCTGGAGTTCGTGAGGCATGACTATGTTTGAGTCTTGTGAGTCCGTATGTATATTCCAACAATCTGGGTCAGAAAAGAGAATGTCAGTGGCAGAGAAAGCCTTCTAGACTGGGTTTCGAGACACTGAGCTTCCGATCCCAGATTATAGCAGAGGCAGGCACTCGAAAAAGTATGATGGCAAAGCCATGATCTCAACGACGGCGTGAAGCTTTAGAGTTTAGCTCGCCGGACCTTTCTCCACATTCATCAAATCTAGAGACAAAGATCATCCCCTCGAGGTCGTATTGAACTATCAAACTAGATGCGGGGACTTTTCATCTGCACACATACTATATCTGGTACGAAGACCAGCATCTGGGTATAAGCGAGGCTGGTTGTTGCACGCGATTCACAACTGTCGCATGCTCTTTTGTCTGATAATCATATAACTAATGACGCTATTACGACAATGTTATGACAGCGATATGATAGCATTTTTTCAATAGCCGCCAGCAAGCAGCTATGATAAGATAGAAGAATGTCTTGACTTTGATGACGACACCAAATTCGGGGTAAATTTACTTAATTCTTAAGTCAGTCTCCTGACCTAATCACCAGTAGTGTGTATTCCGCTAGACTGGAACAATGATTACGCATGCGCCGACTCGAGGGCTTTCCCCGGAAATGATAAGCTCCCGCAAGTAAAAATAGCATCGTATGCAAGGTTGAGTTTCGTAGTAATCCAATTGAAGTTGTATGTAACTGTATGAAAATAAGAGGAACTGGGACGAATCAAAAAAAGAGATGTTAATTACTAATTATGAAGAGCTTCAATTGATCTGGTGAGTGTTGCATTTAACTTCCTAGACGACTACCTAGGCTCGAGCTAGATACTAGATACTAGACATATATATGTTGTAAATAAAAGTTCGGAGAATACTCCTGGATCTATCTAGCCGGCCAGGTACATTGTACAGCCTCTTTCATTGCAGCAGAGATCAAGTCACGTGAAGATTACACCGCCCATCCGATATCAGTGCGCTAACCCAAGAAAAGCAATATGTTGGCAGAATTCAAGGCTGAAGTCACTGAAGTCATTACTGTCCTTCGAATCCAATGTTCATACAATTGTTTGACCCAACAGGCTTGAATTGAAAGCTTTTTGTTGTACGATTTCCAATCCGAATCTCCAGGACGCCTGTTTCGCTCTGGACCTCAAGCATCTCCACGTTACTCATACCATATTGCACAACAGACGCAATATTCTTACACACCACCTTGTTCCTTCCACGCTTCGTAAATTGCTATGCGTTAATTGCCATCTTCGCCCACTTCATTGACTGGATTCTAAGTGTCGTGTGCCGTGGCTCTTCTTGTACGACCCAAATTAAAGTTGTCGCTCGGTACCCATCGAAAGAATACCAGATAAGTGGAGGAAAGTACAGCATCGGCAGAAAATTGAAACACGATCGGCTTAGAGAGATTGTAACACCTGCAGCCCGCATTTAAAACTTGTTTTTAAGTGCGCCATCTGCTAATAATCGCCGTGGAGTATATTTAAGCAACGGGTCCAAGTGAGCGGGCAGTGGCGTGAGGTTTTGTCCAAGAGACTCCACGTTGGAATTCTTTTCGTAGATTCACAATCTGCGAGCATCATATGAGACTGATACGAATTTTCGGAAACTTTACTTCGTTTTCAACCCTTTAACATGTCCATCTCAAGTGCTAGAACATCATTATCTTCCCAGGAGCTGACCGGCGAAGGTATATCTGTAAATGCGATGGAAGTTCATGCTATCATTTGCTGACAATGATTGACAGCAAAATTGACGGACGTTACCAAAATTGTAGAAAGCCTCAAGGCGGATTTAGAGAAGATTAGCCTTCTACCGCATCGTGAGTATGAATTGATTTCGCATAGTCTAAGATATACTTATTCCTCCTCGCAGAACGAGATGCACTCCTGGAGCAGTTGAAGGTTTATGGTCGTGACCCTTCCAATGCAGACCCGATATTTACCAAAGAGGTAGGTCACACATATCTAAACGCAAGACGTTCCTAATTTTTGCAATAGGGAATCGAGACTCTTTCAAAGCATGCCTTCAATAGTCCTTCCAAAACTACTTCTCGAAATGCACTTCGATGCCTCGCAAACGCCCTCCTCCTGAAGCCAGATACGCGACAGATATTGGTTAGCTTGGGTTATGATGAAAGGGCTTGCGCTCTACTCAAAGATAGAATTGCATCCGTTGATGACGAATTTTTGTTGTCTAGAATTATCTTTCTTACAACTTACGGTACCACGATAAACATTGAGAATCTCATTGACCAGTGTCATCTGGCAGACACCATCTCACACAACATTGCCAACCATGATAAGCTTCACGGTGTGAAGCAGAAGAAAGTCAAACAATCAGATCCAATGGAGGATATGGCTCTTGCTGAATCGCTTAAGCTTCTTTTTAACATCACACATTTTTGTCTCCAACGAAACTCCAGTTTTTCCCAAGCACTTCCTCATATTTTATCCATTCTTCATAAAATAGAGACGATTCCGAACGCACCTCTAGATTCTCCTATCGCGCAACTCGTCAACACTCTTATCAACATACCTCTTGAAGACCCAGGAAATATTAACGTGCTGTTTCCTAAAGGAAGCCCGAACTTAAATGTCGAGAAGTTTCTTGAACTCCTCGATCATTCCATCAACAAATACCAAGACGAAGAACTTGAGCAGCTTGTCTCACCACTACTCACCCTCATTCGTAAAGCATACGAGATCGGTCCCTCCGAAGTTCACCAATTAATGCAAACCCGGTTACTTCCAAGTGACAAAGACCGTGAACAACCTGTAGGCAGAGGAGAGTCATTGTCTGCACGCTTGATTCGATTATCAACAAGTCCCATGGCGCCCCAAGTTCGGGAATCTATAGCTGCATTACTGTTTGAGCTGTCTGACAAGGACGCTAGCACGTTTGTTCAGAACCTCGGCTACGGATTTGCCTCTGGCTTCTTGTTCCAGCACAATGTCCCTATCCCAGAAAATGCCTTTGAAGCGTGGAGTACGGAAAATGATAAAGGTAATGGTATGACAAGGCCCAGCCACGATAGTGGTAAAGCAGTCAATCCTATTACAGGGCAACTTCTCGAAGCGGAGGAGAAGATTGATCTTCCTGAGATGAGCCAGGAAGAGAAAGAGAGGGAGGCTGAAAGATTATTTGTATTGTTTGAGCGGTATTTAAAATCTTCCCAAGTAAAAAATCACACAAGCTAACACACTATTAGATTGAAGAAGAATGGAATCATCACTGCGACAAACCCGATGGAGGAAGCGTTGCAACAAGGGAGGTTTGAAGAATTGGAGGATGATGCAGATTCCGATTGAGAAAGAATGGTAAAATTTGCGAGATGAAGCTAGGGGCTTGCTGGCAACTCTTACTTTCACATGTAAACCAATTCCTTTGATGAATGATGTGAAAAGTCTTCCAAAGTTGAAGTTTTCTTCTTTCTTTTGTCCTTGAAGTAATCTATGCATCTTGTACTTGGTTATGCAGCTTTACTGCGAAATATCACAGCTGATAGGTATGCAAAGACGATGGCGGCTATTGAGTCCGACCAATCAGGTTCGGAGTTAGTGAATCTGGTCTTCACTATTCATCATCAGATGGATTCACTCTGCAGTGTAACTACACCCAACACAGGGTATCCCATAGTCCGGACTACAGTCCAACAATTGAAAATCTTAAAACACTCAGTTTCTTCGAATACATACAGAGATTGAGTTTTTTAAGATTCATTTGATTTGAAATAATAAATTTATGAAATCAACAATAGCATCTCCGGAATTTCCAAACTCGAATCTAAATAGGAGTGCAGTCTGGACAGACGGCAAACCTGACCCAACACATCAACGGTAAAGCCACTTCAATAATACAACATTGCATAAGTAACTTTTTGGTCACTTGTCTTTGCGAACAGAGAAGCACTTCTGAAATTTGCCTCTCCTGTCGCGATAGACTTGGAAGTATCATTTTTCCTAGATCGAACGTTATCAACAACTATATAGAAGCCTTTTCTTTCACCGCAGAGAAAAGCAAAAGCCATGTCTTCATCTTGGCAAGCTCAAGCAACAGAAAGGGCTTCTTCAATTTTAGAGAAAATCCCTCAAGAATGGAGACTCTCGTCAAATGAAATTGCAGATGCAAGAGCCCAGCGAAATATTACATCGTCTGTTATTTGCAAGTATCTCAATCGATTCGAACAAGGAGTCTTGAGTCATGATTCGATCTCAATTCTAAGAAAGCTTAGGAGTGGAGAATGGACTGCTGTTCAATGTGTCCTGGCTTCTTGCAAAATTGCTTGCATTGCTCACCAAATTGTATGTTTAATTGTCTACTATCGATAATGGATATAAAGCTCACTAAAATAGAATCCTTGCTTGCTTAACATAATGATACCTGAACCAGTGGAAAAGGCTAGAAATTTGGATGAATCCTTTCAAAATGAAGCGTGGTCCGTCAGAGGGCCTCTTCATGGTCTTCCGATCAGCGTCAAAGATCAATTTCATGTAAAGGGATCGGATACTACCATGGGCTATGTTGGATGGATCGGTACATTTGAGGGAGATGGTAATAGTAATAAGGTGGGTATGGTAAACAGCCAGATAATCTCTGAATTAGAGGAACAAGGTGCGGTAGTCTTCTGTAAAGTATGTATCTCTCATCATATTTTAGTTTGAATATTTACTGACAGTTAGGAAGACCAGCTTGCCACAAACCGTTCTCGTAAGCTTTAGTGCCTAGTTGAGTGAAAGTGGCAAGCTAATTAATGTTCAGTATGACGAAACCATAAACAACATCATAGGCCAGACACTCAATCCAGTCAATCGACTTCTCTCCTGTGGTGGTTCTTCTGGGGGTATGAGGATACAAATTATTTCCCAGTGTGAATTCGATTGATCTGACAATATGCTCTAGGTGAAGCAGCGCTTATCTCAATGGGTGGGAGTTCATTGGGTATAGGTACTGATATTGGTATCTAATCTGTTCTACATACCTTTAAACCCATAATTAACTTCAGCATAGCCGGTTCTATCCGCGTACCAGCTGCATTCTGTGGTATCTATGGCATCAAGCCAACTCATAATAGATTCTCTTACCGAGAGGTTGCCAATACTGTACTTCAAATACAATATTCCCTCCTAATTATTTACCATCATACTAACTAGCTAACCGCAGAACCCCGGGCAAACACTAATCCCCTCCTCAGTTGGGTTCCTTTCACGTTCCCTCGAAGGCTTAGAATTAGTCATGAGTAGCCTTTTGTGCACATCCCCCTGGCTTCGCGATCCAGCCGTCGTTCCAATGCCCTGGCGTAAAGAGAATCGACCTGAAGCCGGGAAAAGGCTCAGATTTGGCATTTTCTGGTGGGATGGAATGATTCAGCCTCACCCACCTGTTACACGGGCATTGGAAATGGTTGTGACTGCTTTGGAGAATGCAGGACACGAGGTATTTGTCTTACTATGATGTATGATTGTAGGACAGCAGGCTAATATTGTGTTCAGGTCATAGATTGGTTTCCACCATCTCATAATGTACCCGAGCGACTTCACGTAAGTTTTCTCTCTGATCAAGTATATACTTAGGAACTAATAGAAAATCAATTTATCAGCCAGCAATAATGAATGCAGATGGATCCCATCATATTCACAAACAACTAGCATTATCCGGAGAGCCATTGATTAATGATTTACAAAACTTTTACACATTAAAACCACCAATGTCTCTTCTCGAATATCAAGATCGAGCATTACAAATCCGAGATTATAGACAAGCTTACTCTGATTATTGGAATAGTACAGCAGATGCAGATGGGAATGTGGTGGATGCAGTATTAATGCCCGCAGCTCCTCATGCAGCTGTTATACCCGGGAAATGGGAACATCTCGGTATGTGCTCCATGACACAGTAGTATTTGTTGTAGGAATATCATGCTGATGGATATAGCGTATACGGAAGTTCTCAATCTTTTGGACTATACGGCGTTGGTTATTCCAATCACTCATGTGGATAAGGATGTGGATGAACATCATGTTTATGTACCCGTTAGTGAGAAGGATTTGAGGAATTGGACGGCGTATAACAAGGTGGTTTATGATGGTGCGCCGGTTGGGATACAGATTGTGGGGAGAGTGTGCGAAGAGGAAAAGATTGTTGGGGTGGCGAAGATTGTCGAGGAGGCTTTGGGGAGATGAAGAGGAATTTTGAGATAGGCGATGGTAATTGTAGTAATATTGATAGTGGGTTCCAATCGATGATATTGCTTATCTGATCTTATGGGAAGAGATTCTATTGATTTTGGAGGTCTTTGTGATGATTGATGCTTGTTTTCTGAACATTATTGTACCAGATATTAAGAATTCTTGAAAAATTTCCCACTTTTCATTCGTTCTGTATGGATGATCGATTTTTTCTTAACGAATATCAAGCAACGGCTTTCAAATCACCAGATCTTTTTGAATATCGAAGTATTCTCGTCTCATCTCCATGAATCAAAAGAGCCCAAACATTCATACTTCTTCGAATTATCAATTATACACACTATCCTGTCAAAGATTCAAGACTTCATAACACCAAATCGTTTCCAACATTCAGCTATCTCTGTCCTCCAACTGATGATTGAGATTGAGCAAGATTACTCACTCTACTACCCATCTCCATCGCAGTCTTTTCTTTCCACTCTCGATAGATTTTCTTTTCCAAGATTTCACCATCGAAATTCTCAAACACATCATGATGACAATCATGCCATATACTCAGCTGTTCCCAAAACCCAGTATTAGGCTGCACCCGCGATCTCTTCTTCCGCACGAGAGCTAGAGCTTCTTCTCGATCCAAAGTCCTCTCTCGCATTACTGCATACGAAGTTAGTCGAATCAATATCATGACCCACGAAGTAAGGGTAAAGAGAGTAATTTCACCATATCCCAAAACGACCGTTCCAGATCTACTAATCCCGAGTCCGCAATGAACTAGTACGCCCTTGTTTTGACAAAGTGACTTATCAATCATCTCGCATGCATCGTTCATAATATGTAGAATATCTTCCAGCGCATCATCTTGTACTAGAAAGTCATGGTGAGAGAAACCAAGTTCGAGATAGCGGGTACGAAGCCATTGAGGAAGAGGTTGATCATTTACAGATATGATTGTGCATATATTTTTGCTTTGGAGATTGGAGATATTGTATGTGGAAAGTATACTGAGGGTATTAGTAAGATGTACGAAATGGAGAGAATAGAAATTTGATTCACTCTCCGATCCATAGGTTAGGCAGAATTTCGTCCATATTCAAGTTTGGGTTGTGAGTGCCGGGATTGTTTATTAATTGGGCCATTGTGATGAGGTTCGATGGATGAGATGATAGATACACTTGTTTTCTCTAGGAATGCGAAGAACATCTACATATAAACATGACAGATAGTGTAGTACTGGAGAAACTTCCCTCCAGGCTTTCACGCTGTGTAATTCTGCAGCCTTGTATTCGCCATGAAACTACTTACATCTGTAAGATTGCTAGGCTTCCATCGAATTCTATCTACTTGATTGTACATGACATATGGAAATGTAGAAATATGAGATTCAATGGATCTAATACTCTGAACTGTAGTTCGATAATGAAAAGCGTTGAATTTCTAAATGGAGCTGGAATATTCAAAGAATTTCGTACTCTGGATTGCAGTTCGACAATCTATAGCTTTGAATTCCTGAATGGAACTGGAACATTTAAAGTATTCAGAAGTTTGAATGTATTCCAGAGATTGGCTTCCTCTCATTCATTCTGATCATGTAAAAGAATGGATATATTTCAGAAATTGAACACATTTTAGAGATTCAAATGTCGGTAGATGTTTTAAGGCATTCGATACTCCAGACTATAATTCGATAATCAATAGCTTTGAATTCCCGAATGGAATTAAAAGATTCAAAGTGATAGAAGTTTGAATGCATTTCAGAGATTGAATCCTTCTTGTATATCCCAAAAAAAATAAAAGAATAAAATACATTTCAAAAATTGAATTACTTTCAACTATTCGAATTGTTTAAAAGAATGAATACATTATAGAAACCGAATACAGTTCAAAGATTCAATTGTCTATACCTAGTCATTTGAATTGTCTGTACGAGGGCGTGTCTTTGATGATTGCCGGGACCGTGCGCAGGGAAATTTCCTCACCAAAATAAGCACAAACTCATCTATTTTGAAATTCAATAACAATTGAAATAAAAATAGTATTTGAAAAATCTTTTCAAATTTAAAGAATTTTTTATATCAAGATCTATATATAAATTTGATAAAGTAGAATCATTAATATTTATAAAGTTATATTCATTATAAAAATCATATAATAAATATTAATGAGTTCGGTTATTTTGCCCGGCAATCATCAAAGACACGCCCTCGTATAGATAAATAGATTTTGAAGATCAAATTGTTTTAAATTCTTCAGAACGTCTTAGAGAATGAAAGCTCTAACATTACTCGAGTAACATCGCAATAATAATTACGTAAAGGTCTAATTCGAGTGGAATCATTTTGATGTGGATACCGGCAGTAGCACAGAGATAGAAGTTCCCTATTTTGTAAGAATATATTTATAAAAAACTTTGAAGCCTGCATCAAATATGCATTTCTCCCATGGTGTAATGGTTAGCACACTAGATTTTGATTCTGGAGATATTGGTTCGATTCCTATTGGGAGATACTTTGAAGAGCATTCTTTCATTCCATACTCAGTTTAAATCTGAGATCATAGGACTGCGATTTTTTTGGATTTTTTTTCGCTTGTCCTGTCTTTTTTTTTTGCTTCAAGAAAGAACATCCATGGCTTGCAGCTGAGAAACCCCCACATAGTGGATCATAAATATAAGACCATCAATACAAAGATAACCAAGCTCCTATTATTAATCATGTACACGTGATCTTCTATCATCTAATTCAACTCCGCTTACTATGAATCAAGTGAGCTATCTTCTGTATTGTATATATCTTTTGTATCTCGTTGTACAAATTACCCTGGACTCCTACCACCCACCTAAGGTTATATGATAAGTCCTAAGCTCTTTAGGTACTCTCTACTTGTTGATTTTTTTCGTGTCCCGTTATACAATAGACCCTCATGCAGGATCCACCCCGAAAACGTATTCGAGCCCGAAATGCATGCGATAGTTGCCGTAAGAGGAAGCGGAAATGTGATGGCTGCTCGCCATGTTCAGAGTGTGTAGGTTATGAATATGAGTGTAGCTTCTCTCCCAATATAACGCCAGTTGGCTCCATGAAGAAAGCAAAGCTATCTCATGAGCCAACATTCCAAGGATCCCAATCTCAGAACATTTCCAATACAGTTGCATCGAGTGCTGAATCCTCTGATCTTACACAAAGGGGTGGAAAAAATTCAAATCTTCCTTTTGTAATCAATGGAAAACCAGAAGAAACTCCAGCCAAATTGTTTCACCAGGAAGACATTAAACAAGGCACTGCTAGCAATGAAACCACAAATGATTTATCGATTTTGGAGCCATACAAATGCAGATTTACCAGCGCAAATAGTGCCATCGCATTCCCGAGATGTCTAGGAATGGAACTGGAGATGGCCACACCTCCACGGTTGCACAGTTATGCATGGAATGCTGGGATCCGGTCAGAAGCACCGAAACCGAATTATATGCGTTTACACGAATTTTGTTCTTGGGGATTTGCATCTTCAGCAATAGATGTTTATTTTGAACACATCAACCCCGTTTTTGGATTTCTAGAAAAGGAAAAGTTTCGACACAGATGTGAGCTTTTTTGGAAAGATGATACGGGAAGTATTGGATTCGAGGCACTTATCTGTGGGGTTGTGACTTTGGGTGCATTGTTCACGAGACAGATTGCATCTATGCTTGAAAGTGATGTCTTCGAGCATGGCCGATGCTTGCTGGAGCAAGGATCTCAGAGGCATGGCGATATGTCTCTTGAACATGTGATGGCATGGACATTACGGGCTCTTTACCTTCGATCCACGAGTCGTCCCAATTTGTCTTCATTGGCAATCTTTACGACCGTTCATTTGGCTGAATCAATTGGCCTTCATCGAGAATTGGATACTGTTGTTTTCGCCGTTGACGGATCCAGAAAGGTCTTCTCACCAGATGTATTGGAATTACGTCGGCGGGTCTTTTGGATCGTGATGTCCCTGAACCAATTATTCGCTGCCGAATACGGCCGTTCAAAGGTTTCCTTGGACAATGTTAGATGCCGAAAGCCTATCGCTAAAGAAGGAGATTCAATCGGCGACTTGATTGTTATGGCGGAACGACTATCATATTGCACTATCTCAGACGTTGACCCTGATGCCCTGCGAATAGCGATTGAACATTTGGCGATCTTGCCTTGTAATCATTCGGGACTGACCATGATCAAGGCAGATGTTGTTTTGTGTCTTTCTCGAAAACTACACCTAACTCATTCGAAATTCAGTTCTTCCGTCTTAAATACTATAATGGTAGTTCTTCGCAGTGCCTTTGCGGAGTCCCGAAATCTGTCAGACAAGCGAGTTCCTTGGTGGAACGTGGTCAGCGTTCCATTCAACACGGTTTGTCTACTCCTGTCGATAAACACGCGTCAAAGCATATCCTTTCTACCCCAAGCCATGGACACTCTAGAATTCGCTAGCAAATCATGGGATACCCATCTGTCGAGAGAGGCTTTACATACTGCGCAAATGTTGGTCAATCGATTCATAGATATGAAGCGTGAAGATCAGATGGTTCTGGAATCCCTCCATCGTGTTGTTGATCACCCTAGTGTATCTTCGAGTACACAGAATTGGACAGGGACTATTGGAGATGACCTGTTCGGAGGCTTAAATGGACAGGATTTTGGGTGGGCACAGTTCTTCGGTGATGTTGTGGGATAATTTGGGAGTCACTCCAAGAGAATTGTCATATACACCTCTGGTGGAGACAAATATTAGCGTCGGAACGATCTACCTGCACGTTACCACTGCTTCAAAGGAGCAATCAGCCTCAAGACTAAAGGAAGGAAGGAGGCGCAGGGGTGTTTTGATCTCTCTGTGAAGGAACAACCACACCTCTACATAGCACGCGATTACTTGCCGAGTAAGTTACTAGCGAATGGTGTTTTTTTGTTCTATTTAAGGTTATGCATCGGGGCTAAACCGGAAATGTAATTGTTGTGAAAAGTCGGCTTCTGAGAATTAACCTTGATTTTCCTTGCGGGAACTCACGTAATCATCGGAAGTCTTTGAGGCCATAGGGCACAGCAACTACTCACAGCGTTTTATATATATACTTTGGGGCGTATTTGGTACGATTTTGTAATTAACAGGAATATAATATAATTAATGGTTCTTCGTCAGATATTTTTGCCCATCTCCACTGCTTTCTTTAAAAATTATCAAAGTCTTCCGCAATATCCACTCCATCCACCCACCCAATGATACTTCAAGCGAGAATGTAGATATACTAGGGTAACTGTAACATCTAAAATGTCCAGAAGTTACTTAAGAATTATGACACGATTCACGAGCCCACTTCATCTCCAGGTCTACATGATTTATAATGGCTTTGCAAGATCACAACATCGAGAAGCTCGATGGTACGGAAGTAAGTGTTGGTTCCAATCGACATCCAAGTGAGCCCATCACTCCCATCATTCCTCCTGAAGGAGGTCTTACAGGCTGGTTATGCGTTATCTGTTGCTCAATGTGCATGTTTTCCACCTTTGGTTTTCTCAATGCGTATGTCCTATTCACATCCCATACATATGTTCCTGAGTATACCGCTCATAGCAAGCATACAGAATTGGAGTGTTTCAGACGTACTACCAACTTCACGAACTCAGTCAATATACCCCATCTACCATTTCTTGGATCTTCGCTCTACAGTTATGTCTCATGTGGCTTCCAGCTCCGTTGTTTGGCCGTCTCTTGGATACTTATGGTCCTACTCCAGTCTTGATACCGTGCAGCGTTCTTTGCGTCTTTTCCTTGTGTATGACTTCACTGTGTCATAAGTATTATCAAATTATTCTTGCTCAAGGTGTTGGGTTCGGTTTTGGGGCCTGCGGTATCTTTGTAGCTGCATTTGTGTGTGCAGGACAATGGTTTGAAAAGAGGAGGGGATTGGCTCTCGGAATCGTTACTGCTGGAAGTAGTTTGGGTACGAACTTGATTCCTACGTTTGCGGTTCTTTCCTACTGACTTTGAGGTTAGGAGGAGTGATATTTCCAATCTTCGTCAATAAACTCATTGATGAAGTCGGCTTTTATGGTACTGTCCGTTATGTTGCTCTTCTTATTGGTATCCTTCAAGTTTGTGCTTGCTTTCTTGTCAGGGCGCGCATGCCTCAGAAAACATGGAATAAAGAAGCAAAATGGGTAGATTTCATCCTCTTCAAGGATCCGAAGTTTGCATTATACACCGCTGGTGCTTTTCTCGTTATGTATGTGCTTTGTCCCTCTGATTATTGTTGATTCTTCCATAACTGACCCGCATAACAGGTGGGGACTCTGGGCACCATTCGATTACCTCTCAAGTATGGCTCTTAATCACGGCTTCTCCAATTCTCTCTCCATTTATCTAATCTCCTTGATCAAGTAAGACTCCACTATCTTCTTAATGTCTAATATTCTGACCTCCCAGCGCCGGTTCCATACCAGGCCGTATTCTCCCTGGCCACCTCGCCGACACGATCGGATACTTCAACACAATGACCATCGTCTGTATACTAACAGGCTTCTCAATCATCACTCTCTGGATTCCTTTCACATACCATTCCTCTCACGTCGGCCTGATTTTCTTCGCTGTAGTTTATGGATTTCTATCTGGTGCTTTCATCTCTCTAATGATGCCTTGTTGTGCGAAATCTGGTACGCTTCAAACGTTGGGTCAAAGATTCGGCACGTTTCAGAGTATCATTGCGATTAGTTGTCTCACGGGATTGCCTATTAGCGGAGCGATATTGAATGGAAGAGGGAGTGGAGATGGGTATTTAGGACTGCAGATTTTTAGTGCGGTGTCTATGGTGGGTGGGGGTGTGGTGATTGGGGTAGCGAGAATGGGAATGGCGGGATGGGAATTAGGGAAAAGGGTTTAGGGTCTGCGTTATTTCTAGGGAGTTGGTAGATATGATGCTTTGGTATGAATTTCTAAAGGCATGTTGTTTGTGCGTGGGAGGAAACCAAGTATATATATGTATATTCATCTATGAAAATGGCATAAATTTGGGCATGATGAATTGGAAAGTCTTTCCCTCTTTCATTATTCGCCTAATCTGCACGCAAAATGTTCTGGACGAGATTAAATCTTTGACAACATGTCTTTGAGATCATCATCGACATGTGTTTGACTTCTGTCAATCAAGGAATAAATGAGCAACCTTCCGTCGCATGAAGCACGGCAGAATTCCTCCCATGCACAAAGTCGTTGCTTCTCACTCTTCACCCCCTTGCTGGCAACGAACACAAGAACTTGGACGACGGTTCAATAACTGAGTGAGAAGTCTCGTTGAGCAATCACCACTATGTAAGATACCCAAGAAATTCAGCTTCTTTATAGAACTTGAGCCATGTAAAAATATCAATCACGTATCAAGAAGGTGTTCGACGAAGTTAGTCTTGGAAAATAGAATCGTTCCTGCCTCTGAGAGCACAGAAATTGTAGTCAGCCGCCAGCTCTAATTAAGAGGACCATGGGAGGGCTTTCAGGGGAAAATCGTCTACTAAAAGTATGTAGCGCACTGAGAGCGTTAAACCCCACAGTACGGGTGCCTCTTGGGCAACTCTCAGTGCCGTAATTGAGCAGTTAGACAAGAGACTGGGTGGGAAGAAGAGAGCCAGTCCTGAAACAGAGTCAAGGATGTTCTGGAAAGTGATATTCAGAGAAGTGCCACTAAAAGCAGAGGAAGAAGGAATCGATTGCATTAGGGCTAAGTCAGAAAATATGGAATGTGATTCTACGACTTGTGCTCCTCTTCTTTCTCTGGTCAACACCATTTCAGGGCAATGAGAGATGTAAAGTCCACTTGGTCTTGAAATTAGTGAAGCTGAGATAATTATCTGATAGGTTTGACCCTTAAAGCAAAAGATATTTCTGTAGGTTGATATGCTACGAGATCTGGCCATCCCGATGATTCCAGATATACGTTGCATTTTCAACTTGAATGTCCGACGAATTTGATAACAAACGCTTTTGTAAGAAGACTTCCATTTGTCATCCCTCTTTTCTCTATTGGGCAGTACCTACATGAATGCATTTTCCTAACCAATAATTCTCATCTGATTGTGTTATGTTATAAATTACTATTGAATTTGTAAGATTGAATTGAAGGATTTGTGAAAGGTGGTCTTTTGCATCCTCAATTTTAGCGTTGTCAGCTCAGTAGGTTACTGTTCCCACTAAATTTCCACTTGACAGCCTCGTCGTGTCTCAACATAAAAAATTATTGACTAAAACCTCACAAAAAAAAAACATTCGAAAGTTGTTATTGCACTGCACTCTTCCATTTTTGTAAAGCAAAGCGAAACACCCTCACCATGGATCAACTTCGCACCGCCCTCCAACCCATAACCCATAACCTCCCTGCGCCTATCAAAGATTTGGGAGTATCTCTCATCGGCGAAAAATGTTACAAAACACTCCTCCTCGATATTGATCCAACCCACACAGAATGTCTCAAACTCGGTATCTCTAAGGGTCTTGGAGTAGGAATCATCGCAGCCTCTTCGATTGTCAAGATTCCTCAACTTCTCAAACTTATCTCCTCCAAATCTTCCGATGGAATATCCTTCCTCTCCTACCTCCTCGAAACATCCGCCTACCTCATTTCCCTCGCATACAACTATCGATCAGAATTCCCCTTCAGCACATATGGGGAGACCGCTCTTATCATGGTGCAGAATGTAGTGATTGCGGTCTTGGTTTTGAACTACAGCGGAAGAGCTAGCACCGCCGCTCTTTTCGTGGCAGGATTGGCCGCAAGTGCCGTTACGCTGTTCAGCGGAAACATGTTAGATATGCAACAATTGGCATACCTACAAGCTGGAGCTGGAGTTTTGGGAGTAGCAAGTAAATTGCCGCAGATCTTGACTGTTTGGCAAGAGGGAGGAACAGGACAGTTGAGCGCTTTTGCTGTAAGTTTTTATTTGTCTTTTTATACATACAAATAATACAATACTAATTCTCAATCTCCAGGTCTTCAATTATCTCGCTGGTTCCCTCTCCAGAATCTTTACTACCCTCCAGGAAGTAGACGATAAGCTTATCCTCTACGGATTCATCGCCGGTTTTGCACTCAACGCAATTCTAGCCCTGCAAATGGTATACTACTGGAACTCACCTAGTAAGACCAAGAGCAAGAAGAGCAAGAGCAAGAAGTCCTCAAATGGAAAGCAAAAGGTTCCCGTTGCAGCCTCCCCTGCTGCAACTACCACTCAATCTCAAAAGAGCACAGCCAAGAGTCCTAGCACACGTAGACGTGGTTAGATCCGTGTCGGGAATCATTTGATTTTTCAACATTTTACTGTTTTCGACTCCTGCATGGTGCAGTTGAAGTCTTTATGATCTATTACGCGGATGAGTAGATGGAATAATCTAATCTAATTGTCCTATATTGCTATCTTTATTTTGCACGATTTGTGAATTTGTCAAAGCTAATGCTATATATACCTCCCGTTAGCTCCTCTCCTTGTTAAGATTATTATTGCCAAATCATTACACGGAAAATCCCTATTCCACATAGCTAAACGACTTCTTGGCGAGATCAAGACAGATCCGGACCTTTTCTTCCTCACTCCGACCCATTCCATTCTTTGACACTTCTGTATCCCTTCAATCGTCTCCATTTTCGAAAAGTAATCTATCCCAAGGAATTTCATTGGCTCCAACCCTCATTCTTTCGTTCTATCCCCTTTTACTCTCCATCATTCCTTCTCTCCAATCCAAAATCCCTGCTTCACACTGATGACAAAAACCACTCCATTGCCTTTCATCACTTTTCCTCATTCACGCTTTTCACAAGCATTTCAAACCTCCATTTAGCTAAAGCCTCGCGGTTCATCTCTATGACTTTTACAGAATATTAAGAGGAAACATAGTGAGATGGAGACAAGAAAGAGGTGGTGGTACGTTTTCACACAACAGGAAGACCCAAGGATGCAGCTTTGAAGATGAAAAGGAATCAATGAAGAAGGGGGTCAATAGAGGTAAAGATGGTGGAAGGATTCGGAAGTTGTGGATCTTTGGCGAAGAATTTCGAAATGAAAGTAGATTGTAAGTATTTCATGGCTAGAAGTGATATATACCCAAGCACCATATAGTCATCTGCTTAGATCACAATTACTCTTGCTGCAAACAGTCACAAATCTATACGCATTGATTCTTGAAAATTAGAACCACTTTGAGGGTTATATTGTATATGATTGATATTGAACTCTATAAAGAGTACCATTCCTACAAGTAGCTTGTAAAAGTATGTCTGCACTTGCTTCTGCGGCAGCTTGAGGGAGCAATGCAGCCCTCGTGATTTAGCACCACCCCCAGCTAACGAATATGGAGTTCGATCTCCTAAGATCGAATGATGGTGCTGGTGACTACACCAACCAGCTGAGGGTTCAGAAGCATCCTGGCGAGGCCCATCCATTGGAACATGAAACTCTGCTCTCGTATGAACGGTGAAGTCATACCACCAAGGGTACAAGCTCGAACCTCTCTATGTTCGGCGATTACGCCAATACAGCATGATTTGTTCTTCCCACGTGGGGGATTAACTTCAAATAACCCCACTGGTAGCAAATCTCAGTATCTCTTCTTTGGTCCTCACTCTCCCATCTTTCCTCGTAACTCCCTTCTCTGGTGCCTTTGCCTTCTTCTTTTCGGCACGTTTACCCATTCCTCCCATAACCTCATCATCATCCTCTTCCTCCTCATCTTCATCTTCATCTTCATCGTCAGTATCTTCCTCATCCTTAAGTCCTGTATTGACATTATCAACATCACCACTCGCCCTCTCCTCCCACGTATACTCATCGGTAGCCTCATTTGCTGCATATTCTCTTATCCTTGGCCCAATCCAATCTGCCGCCCATTTCCAGGTTTCTTCGATATCTTCCCCGCCTTCCGCACCATCTATTTGTAAATTACGACCCTCATCAACCCAAGTCTCTACTTGTGGTTCTAGCTTTTTGCGCAGTAGTTGTAGGAGAAGTCCTTCTTGTGTGCGGCCGGGGAAATTGGTAGAGGGGAATGCGACGATTCGAGAGAGAAGTTCACTATTGGCGGCGAGATGATCGGTGACAGATTGGATATTTGTACTTAGAATGGATGAAGATGTCATTATTGAGGAGCTATTGTCAACCAATTAGTAAAAATGGGTGCGCAATCCAGAATGCGACAAGTATGAGAAAGGTACGAACTATTCAGGTAGAGGTGCGCCCCTCTGGAAATCAGCTTTCAGAGATGCGATATTAGCAGTCAAATTTAAGAGACGCTGACGAGTTTGCTCGAGAGCTTTGATATCTTCTTGCTGAAGTGCCATGATTGCGATTTTGGGTTGTTGTCGCAAGAGTGGTTGAAATGGTTGTGATATTGATTTGGAGGTTCAGACTTTGGGGTTCGGTGGGCTGGACCGGGCTTTTAGCGCGGAACAAAGCCGTGGGGTATGGTAGCAATTAGGGTGCTACGGTCGGATGAACCACTAAAATACAGCATCAATTTTATAAATTGTTCCAACTATACTCGTAAGACGATCTCAATCAAATGATTCACTGGAAATATGTTTTCTGGGTGATGGTAAATGCTTGCTTATACTCCCAATCATTTCTAAGCAGAAACAATGAGGATCACTCGAGATGAGATCCAATACATAGTGTAGTACTCACTTGTTTTCACTCATTTTCCTTTCAGAGCACTCTCAATGCATTCAGCAGGAACTTGAGAAGTACTTGCCTCTACAGATTACTTCCCAGTCGTTATGAATGTAATTTTGCAGCTCTATAGCTTCCTTCTTCATATACTCAATCTCTTTTACATACTGACTCTCGATACTGATCGGCCACATCTTTGTCTCAGCAACGGCAAGGTCATGAGTCTGTCTTTCTTTCCAATCTACACCCAAGGAAGGCCAGAAGAAGCTGTGCAGTCCAAAGTTACTTGTTTGCGTTAAAAGCCGTCTTGGGGGACCTTTGAAATTGATAACGGGATCAAAGTGTAATGGGAAGGCTCAATTAATCTTAAATTGTCGATTGTCGTTGGTTTCAAGCACTGCATCCAATGAAGAAGCTGCAACGCCGTCCTTCTTCATTGCCATTTCGATTGCCATCTTGAAAGAGAAACCAATTTCAGAATAGTGGACTGGCAAGACAGATTTTTCAACCAAGAAACCATTCATGGGTGTTATGAACCTTGAGCATAGCCTTCGGATATCTTGAATCTCTAGCATTGATCGGAGCAGCGGAATTATGTTACAGCATTGCATCTTCTTGAGTTGACATAGCTGCAGCATTGCATCTTGCTCTATTGCCCCTTATAGACGATAAAGCTCCAATTGCGATACCAGTAAGATGGAAAGAGGGGTCAACTCATCAATCATCAATGAGCATACTGTCCAACATTGAGACATCCATTATAATCTCTATTCCTGCATCTGTAATCGGACCAGGACACCTAAATACAGCTGTCACTTAGGTCTGAGTAGTTGAGTTCTACTAGATTTTACCTTTCATTTACAACTCCCCAAAATATCCTACATCAACTATCACAGCCTTAGTTTCAAATTGGAATAGTTTTCAGCAAAGTGCTAGAAACGTAGCTCTCTTCCCTGTTCTGCATTAGGAGTCCTGCTATCTCTTCTCCGTTCTTAGCATGGTCATTGATCTTGTCGCAAGCGCCTTTTCGTGGACAATGCCTGAGAGTATTTTGTCGTTGTTGGTGGTGAAGGTAGATGTTTAGAATACTGATCTTATCATGAGAAGGAACTTCATATCTGTTCGACGGGATATCTTGAAATATATCTTCTTTTGTAAAGCAGAATGATATCTAGTAGCTACGCAGGTTTGGAGTTATCAAGAAAATTCACTGATACTATTTAATACTTGTATATCTTTCTTATGTTTCAAGATTATTATATTTCTGCTCCATCAGGCAGTCGTTCTACCTTCTCTTTCATACTGTTCTAGTGAGTTTATCTCTTGCCGATTGTTAACCTCCCTTGATTTTAAACCCTGAAACATTCACTAATTCTTGCTACTTTTGATAATATCACTTTATGTCTGATCATCAAATTTAGAACTCTGATTATCTGTGGGAACCAGAAAGTTTTACTCAAACACAAGGTACGTCATTGAACTCAGAGTATGGTCACAATGAGAGCGGTCAAGTTGTAGCATCAAATCGTAGTTGCATGACGGTTCATCCTTTCATTTGACAACACCTTTGTGCGCACTATTTCTCATGATACTTTTGGTCCTTTTTGAACTTAAGTCCACAAGTATTGTTTACGGCTGATGTGATCCCCTTTGCTTCAAAATATCATTATCAACTGCTTATATTTCCCTCGTTTCGATGTACCAGAACAACACTCTCCCCAAGGGTGCTCCATCCTTCCTCATCGATTTCATCACCGTGTATTTCCTTGACACCTTCTTCACTTTCAACGGCCAATTTACTCCTCTCTATCAAGCCCCACAAAGTATCAAGATCATGAGCGTTGCTGACACCAGAGTCTCCTGTTTGCGAGATGATATTTTCAAGGTCTTCAACAACATCGCTGATATCCGAACAAAGAGCTTGGTATTCATCATCTCTGCCTTGAACTCCCTGATTATCTTCAAGTTGCAACTTTAGAGATTCAGATATGTGAGATAACTGATGATCTAGATCTCCATTTTGACAGGCCCTTTTAACACATTCACTTGCCTTGGCTTGAATTTGAAACTCTTTGTCTGCTAAGTGATCCGTCGACATGCGCCATCGCTCTTACTGTGCTTCATACCACGGAATGATGCAGTTAGAAAAGCTCAGCACAGCCATTTCAATGGCGAGAACGAGAAGTTGTTTTGTCCAGAAGTTGAGGCCTTCAGATGTCGGGTGATGGATAGAAATGCGCAGGAAGACCTCTATCAAGTATTGAGGAGTGGGTAAAAGAATGAAGATCCATACGGTAGGCCGAGAAGAGTGTTGAAAAGGTATCGAAAAAGATTGTCCCAAACACAATGTAGGTAAATTGCGACATGGTTTATACTCGATAATTGAATCGCAATTATTGGGAGAGATTGATTGGAGAAGGCTCTGTGATGGTGGATGATAAGTCGTTGGAAAATGTGGAGGAAATAAATGGATGAGAGGACATATGTGTAGAAGATGAAATTTGAGGCTCCCTCGGCGGTAATTTTTAAGATGGCATTGTCGCCATCAGGCAGGAGAATCTCAAAGAGGATCTGAGAAGTCGTTGGCTCTGTGCGAACGAACTCAAAATTGTGTATGGACTGAAAATTCATTTTGACGGATTTCGTGCTATGGTTCAAGGTTCAGATCAATTTGATGTTATTGATGGTGCTCGAGGATAAGAAGGCCGTAAGTTACAGGTCATCAACATCTTGCAGGTCTCTGGCAGATTAAAACAGCTGAAGGAGGGGTTTGGTAGGTAGTGAATCTATATTACAGTGTACTAATGTTCTCTTCTGACATTTGGACCTTTTCTTTACGACCGGCAAGGGTCGGCGCCAGATTCATTGCAAGTTAGATCACTACGAAGAATATATTTCTGAGACCCTAGATAAACTGGTAAATATTTTTCTCTTAATACTGAAATTGTATTCTGGTAAGATTGATTTGGAGGATATCATTCACAATAAGGGATTCCTCTATACGGGAGAGGTTTTGAAGTGAATTTTTACCAGAAATATGGGCGTTGATAGCCACTTTGCAAAGTGACTAGCAAGTGCTTAGATGTATTTCCAAACCTTGCTGATCAATCACTCCATGAGTACATTGGACGCACATCTGTAAAGTTTCAATAAAATTCTGACAAAATGCCATATTCAGCACGCCATACCCGCCCCTGGACAGTTCTAGAAGGGCTCCAATATCAGAGGTTGATTATGGTTCGAGGAATTGTATCTGGGAATTTCCCATATTCACTAAATATGTTATCATTACCGGATGGAAACTCGTGCTGAAGGGGTAGTTCATACCTCAACTGTGTGGCGTCATGAATATTTCTCACGATGCGTGCTTCTTTGACAAACTGTGATATGTGGATGGATTATGTTTTGATTTCACGGCTATCTTGATTGGTCTTTAGCGAGTTCAAGTGCATTCTTCAACCAAAACACACATTCTCCTCCTAGCAACATCTTGGCAGTTATGCTACTACTAACGGAATCAACACTCCATTGAAGGAAAATCCCGAAATTCTCGGTACAAGGTCCAATAGAATCTTTATCTTGTGTCAATTCGCCATCAAGCACGAGACTTTGTAGACTGTTTTGATTTTACATTCCCATGTTTGATATTCCGCCCATGGCGGAGATTCATTCCTAACAGCGTTGATCCTCAACAATGGGGGCTCGAATCTGAATCACAACACTGATGATTTTAATATATAATCACGATGCAATTCCATCTTTCCTTCTTCTCGTACATCAGGAACCAACTTGTATACACTCTTTCTTCCAAACAATAAATAGTCTTCAAGACATACCACATTCACTTACTTGAAATTAAAGTTTTTCATCATGAAGACCCAAACAATTCTTTCAATTCTTTTGGCTACGGCCCATCTCGCTGCTGCTCAAGGAGGACCAATCCGTGGACCTGGGGGCACCGATGTTGGAAACAACGGCCCTCAAGGTGGAAACAACGGCCCTCAAGGTGGAAACAACGGTCCCCAAGGTGGAAACAACGGTCCTCAAGGTGGAAACAACGGTGCTCAAGGTGGTAAGTGTTTTAAATTGCGAGGCATTTATGATACGACGTGCTAATAACAGCAGGATGGAGCCCACCACCATCAAAAGAGACTACAATCTCCGAGGCTTACGGATCATCAAACTCCGGAGCAAATCAGCAAGCAGTTTGCGAATGTTACCCAGATGATGGCACTAACGCACCATCTTTGACTGCTGCTATCAGTCGTAAGAGACCCCTTTTTGTTCTGCGTTAGACCACAACTAATATCATGATTTCTAGAGGAACAAGGTGCCAACTCAGACAGTGGTACATCATTCACCCATATCGTAGACACCACTCCTCCTAAGAAACCATGGAAGCGACAACGTGGTGGAGACGACGACGAAGAGGAAGGTCCTGAGGCACAGAACGCCGCCGGAGGATGGAAGCCAAAGCCAAAGCCAACCAAGCCAGAAGAAGCCGCTGCATCAGCATCTGTTGATGCCACTCAAGTCGGTATCAACGCTGCTGGGGGTGCTGGCTCTGCTGCAGGCCCATGGGGAGCTGTCTCCTATGCTGGCCCCGCAATTGGTGCCAACTATCAAGACATCGATGGAAACTGTGTGTGTCCACCAGGTCAATCTCCCCACAAGCCAAAGCCAAAGGGGGATGCTCCCGCAGAGCAAGGTGGTGCAACTAGTCCATCGGGAGGAAAGCCTGATGGCGGAAAGCCTGATGGAGGAAAGCCTGATGGAGGAAAGCCTGATGGAGGAAAGCCTGATGGAGGAAAGCCTGATGGAAACGGAAATGAGAGCGGAAACGGAAATGGCAATGCAAGAACATCCAATTTCATGCCTCAATAATCCCCTTCTGAATGAATACTCAACTTTCTGCAATTGGCTGTAAATAGCTTAGCAAGAACTGACTAACCATATTACAGGCCAACGGTAACCTCAATGGAAACGCCAACCTCAATGCCAATGAGAACCAGAACTTGAATGTGAGCAAATCGCAGATCTCCATCTTCAACAATCACATACTGACCACATCATTCGCAATAGGCCAACATCAACAAGAACGAGAATGTTAACATCAATGGCAACGCTAATGAAAACATCGTAAGTGCACTCATTTCACCGAGATTTCATATCTCTCGTTATGAACAGTTACTAATTTAGATAGAACAAGAACTTGGGACTCAACTTCGGCAGCAACAGCAATGGATGGGGATCATGGTTCGGAAGCAAGGCCGCTGCGGTCGCTGCTGACCCCGCCGCCTCCGGCACTCCAGTCGCCGCCAGCGATGCCTCCGGCATTGTTGGTGCCACTGATGAGTCGTTCGTCCCAGAAGTCTCCACCGGAGACGCTTCCGGTGTTGAGCAATTCACCGGTGCTGGATCCAGCATTACCATCTCCGCGTGGGGATTCCTTGCTGCCGTCTTCGCCATTGCCAACGTCTTGTAGATTGAGTATTAGTATACTTAATCGGTCTCTTCGTTAGTCTGGGGGGTTATTGGGCTTTAATTTTATTTTTTATTCATCGCGGCTTGCATGTTTGGTTTGGGGGTTATTTCGATTCGACAGCAGCACGTCTCTGAGATTGTGTTTGCATTATATTGGAGATGGGCAGATGAGGCATTTTTGTGATTTTTAATCTTAATTGAAAAGCAGTTATTGTTGAATCAATCTGATACCTGTGAATCTTGAGATGACTTTGCGTGATTCGTGATTTCAGTTACATTGCTTGACCTGTGGAAAGTTCACTGGCTTTACACAACGATTCTTCCAACTTTCATCCCTTCAGTACTGTTCTTTGTGATAGGATTTTTAATCGCCACTTCTATGTTCCCATCATCAACTTTCTGTCCTGAGTCAAGCCATGCATGGGACACCATAGTTGAGATAGAACATTCCATGTTTCCTACTTCAAAATTGTCAACTATTCCATCAATGTCGTTTCCAATGCTAGCAACACATTTCAATCAACTTTGATCGGTACTTCACTTTCTACTATAAACTGAGAATTCATCAAAAACTCTCATTGACGACTACCATATGTGGTAATAAATGAATTATTCTTTTATAACAACTTCTCTTGGGGTTATGTGGCCCGGTATGGGATTTTAGTTGCATCGTAGCTTACACAATGGAGCTAGCTAAATTCTTAGACTGCGCTTCTTGAGGGAATTTGATGTCCAATGTCCAAGTGATTTTACTACATCACTCTCCTTGTGCTAACATATACTGTGTGACCAACGAAAATTGTCACCGCTAGATTATAATCAGAAATGGCGAGAATGTTATTTGTGGCATGAGATCATTTATCCAAGATTGACACTTGAATTCATCAACTTTGACTTTAACACAACTCTGGACTGGTTGTCTTTCGTGTAACTTTACTTCCAAGTTCTGGTTTTTCGACCGTGATTCTTCCGGGATATGTGTAGTAATGCTGAGATCACTAGAAACTTGCAAATTTAGGCATTCAAAAGAAAGATCTTGAAATGCATGGTAAATTGGTATCAATACATACAACCTAGAAATCAACAAGAGAAACGGCTAATCGCTGTCCAATACAATAACTTCCGCCTCGGCCTCGCCAATGCTTTCAACGCTCAGAATGTCTCCTGCCTTGACAGCTTCGACAAATGCTCCATCACCCTCTGAAAGAACAGCTCCTTCTCTACCGTCCAATCTGATTTTTGCGTTGCCTCCCTTGGTCATGGGAACGTGGATATAGACTTTTCTGTTCTCGGCACTCTTTGTTGCCCCTCCACCGACAGTCCATTTGAATCTCTTGTCTACTCCAATTATTCCGGCAGCCATGACAAAATCGGCATGTATAGGTATGGTATCTGGGAGTGTTGGTTCTGCAGCGTTCTCCTCTTCTGCAGAAGCACCGGGACCAGCTTTCAATGGTGACAGGATTGGTAAGAACGCTGATCGCTTAGCGTCTTCAGAGAAAGTTTTTGTATGATATCGTGGAGTGAGTGATCTAGCCCAAGGAAGGGCCCAAATTTGAAGGAAGTGAACTTCCTCCTTGGATTCATTTTGTTCCGAGTGCGCAATGCCTGCGGGGCATCTAGTTAGCATAAACTCTAATCATTCAAGGAAATTATAAACATACCACTTCCACCAGTTGTGAACTGAACATCTCCCCTCTTCATTCTGTAGAAATCGTCTCCCTCTTTTCCTTCAGCTCCCTTCTTAATCATACTATCTCTGTGAGTCAATTCTCCACTCAGAATATAGCTGAAGATTTCGGCATCGCGATGAGGGTGTGTAGGGAACCCTGTACCACCGGCGACACGATCTTCGTTGAGGACCCGCAAACTTCCAAAGTTTTGGAATTGGCTGTCATAGTAGTTTGCGAAACTAAATGTGTGGTAAGAGTTGAGCCATCCGTGATCAGCATGGCCACGAGCCGAGGATCTTCGAGGGGTAATTTTAGCGTGTGAAAGTGCTTTGGACATTGTTGATTTGATAGCAGATGAAGTGCTCATAGAAGGTTGAGTTGTAAGTATGTCAGTTTGTATTTCGGTCGCTGATCTGTTGTTCGTGAACAATTGAAAGATCTGTGATAGTGGAGTGCTGCTATTGTAGAAGAGTATTGAAATTGATGCAATGAAAATGGAGGACAAGAGAATGAAGAGCTTCATATATAGACTTCCAGCACGTCTGCTGGAATGTGAGAGATAAAGAAAGATATACCTTACATGAAGATGAGGAAATAATTACTTATTGATTTTAGATTTATTTCTTTGATGATTTTATAACTTACTGATAGACATTGGACTAGTCGCTGTGGATTGATTTTTGATGCTGATGAAGGTTATTGTCAGCAACTATTCAGCAGACTAATGACGGATGCGCTAATCTTATTGGGTTAGCCTACCGAGCACAGTGAATGATATCATCAAACACGTGAATACGCGACTGGCACAAAGTCATGTTCATTGATATCGCGTCTTCATCTAGGTAAAGTCAATTCAATTTGTGAACACAATACTTTACCGTTATCACAATCGCTCAACGTGCTTAATACATCTGATTCAAGGCAAGTCGCCCAAATGAGGTCTTGTTCGATTATCTGCTAACAATTGTGATAATGTTTCAGACTCCGAATGTCATAACAGTATTGCTGTTCATTCTTGATATCTGTAAAAGGATTCAACTCGTGATCAACAATGCCTGGAGATTCTGAAATTTGGGAGGTCAGTGATGATTCCTCCACATCGGGAACTGACACGGAGAACGATTCACCTCCTACTGTTGACAGATCTCGCAGCAGCTTGAATACACCTTTTGTGACAACCCAAGAAGATGCATTTGTGAAATTGAAAACAAATCTCCGGGACCATTTTGATAATATAAGCATTGGTACTACATTCTCCCACCAAGGTATCCTTCCGAACGCACCCAATCCAGGAATTTCTCTTCACGGCTATGGTACAATTGAATTCCCGCTCACTGATCATGACTTTGAAAGAATAATGGCAGCAAGCGATTCAGAATCTGGCGAGTCCTCTGGAGATACACTTACTCCTTCTCATGTGTATACCATTCCCGGCAACAAGATCGCTACGAGAAACCCCGCTTGGACATCAGTGGTTCAATCTATAGTAGAAAAAGTGAAGATTGGGCTGGGATTGGAGAATAAGAGTGCTCATGCAGAGCTGTGTGCTCTCGTGTATCACTCACCTGGAAGTACCGCAGAGATTACCAAGTAAGTTCTGAGGTCCCCCAAAGCTTAACGGGCTCTAAAAGAAATGTAGCTCGGTTGTGATGCCATCTAGACACAACTTTGGAATATTAGACATCATTCTGCCATCTGCTAGAGGAAGCGAAAAGTTCATTCTTGAACACAATGGGAAGAAACTCCAATTACACAACAACGGATGTTCCGAATGGGACTGCTCATTTCTCTCATGGGTTGTGATACCCTTCTTGCATTGCTAGTAATCCAAACTAACCATTCTAAAGTTCACAGATATATCGGTTAAGAGTAAATCATTATCTTCAGACCACCGCCTTATCCTCAGGTATGATCTTCAGCATACCATACCGGAAGAGACTAGTGAGTGGAACTAAATTATTTGATGTCCTTTTCCAAGCCTCTCATTTGCTTTCATGTTTTCGACATCGTATTCCTCCTTAAGCAAGAGAAATAATCAAGTCAAGGGTCCAAATATCTTCTGACGTACCATATCTTAGGTTCCGCTACAGCTATAGAAGCCTCATTGTCTAATCTACAAAGCATATTGCAACCCTGGACAAGAGACCGCGTGTTAGTCCCACAAGATATACTGGGATATGTGCTTTCAGAAGCCGACCAATCTGATATTTCCCTTCATAAGCTCCGTGGAAAGGATCGTCTTGTTGTCAATCAACTCAAGGAAGTCTGCGCGGGAAGCAATTTTGAGCTCTACTTTGCAACATTACAGAAAGAAGCCAGTGGCCCAGCTGAATCGTCTGGAGATGACTATTATGGTTACGATGAATCAGTCGACAAAAGTCACGTCATGGTGGAAGTTGAAGAGGAATCATTACACCTCACCAAACTTGTGAATCTCGATGGTGAACTGCTACGTGCAGATTGTGGGTTTCTTGATGAAGTAAACCTCATCAACGATGACGACCCTTTTGACGGTGCCTGCACGGATACAGAGAACTACGATGATGAATACATGACAAAATATTATGGTGCTCCTGTAAGTTCACTTGCTAATAATTATAGACAGTCAGACGGCTGACAGTGCAAAGATGGTAGTCCTCATACCTCGAGCTTCTCGATTCCAATTCATGTTAGGCAAATTAAATAAATGGGACAGTGACAGAAACGAATGTGTCCTCAAGTATATGGCAGATCTGGGGGAAATAACTTCCGAATCCCCTGCCGCTGACCGGGAAGACATGAAAAAAGTATGCGAAATAGTACTTGCGAAAAGCGAAAGCGGTTGGCCGAGTAATGTCCTATCGGGGTTCTCGCATAGGGTATATCTCTTGGTAATCAGCTCGATAATAGACCTTGATGACAAAGTACTCCTTGAACGCACGTTACCAACTTGCTTCTCAGGTCCTGAGTATCAGCCGTTACTAGATAAATTAAGGGAGAAAAAGGGACCTCTATGGATGCTGGCTAGGTATGTTTCAATCAGAAGTGCTAATGGTGACTTGCTAACAGTGGTATTAGAGCCGAATCATATATTGCTGCGATTCCCGCTCTCGGTAGTCGGTGCAAAGCGATTGAAAATCTATCTCAATATCAAATGGAGACCGATTGGTCCTCCAATCAATATGAATTAGCATTATCGGCATGTGCCCCATCTCTGGGTGTATCTGATGTGGCACAATTGATTCAAGTAGCAAGAGTATTGTCTGAGAAACAGATCATCGAAATTTATGCCCCTTATGATTATTTATCGAGAACCTCCACTAATTGACGTCAGTTTCCTTCCAGCCATCAAACCGTGTTTGAATAAGCAACAAATGCTGTGCTCAATCTTGACGCATATCTCAAGAAGTCTCTCATTAAGCAAACGCACACCGCTGCCACTTGATCTAGTGTTTAAAGAAATATTAGCAACTAATATTGGTAGATTGGAGTTATTGAATCTCAGAGACTGGCCAGACGATATTTCCTCAACAGAAGGCGAGGCAGGCTACCATGTCAGATACGCACTAGGTAAAACGTGGCAACAGCGGAAGTATCGGAGCATAGCCCTCGTTGTTTGTCTGGCTTACCAAAAAGAGATGTTCCTCGAGCTCGAGTATCTCTTCAGAGGACTTTGCGACCAAGTTCAGTCTGTAAAATGGGCTTCTTTTAATGATACATTCATGCCATTCCTCGAAGCTCTGGCTAATTCTATACGCGATGTTATCCCGACCGCATTCAATGCACCATTATTCAAGCAACTTTTTCAGACTATTGTCGGCTCGTATGTCATACGTTATCATGAAGAAAAGCCTGTCAAGCCCGTAAGATGGACTCGCGACATTCGAGGATGCAACTCGAACTGCCCAGACTGCAGATTACTAGATCAAGTTTTATTAGACCCTACTCGAAAAAAGTATGTGTTCTATTTAAACGCACAACGAAGACAGCATTTGGAAAATCAACTTTCCTCAGATGTCCAGAATGGGCTCATCAAGACTTCTATTGTTAAAGATCGTACCCCGCATGGTTTGGTTATGGAAAAGACTCGCGATGTTTTTGCCCACAAATTACGGAAATGGTCCCTGGCAGCAAAAGAGTCAACGCTACGTATCGAAATGCTGGGTGGAGATGTAATAGATATCCTGTCAGAGGAGCATTACGAGACGCCATTACCTAGTATGGCAAAAGCATCCGACGATAATATTCAGCAGGCCAAGAAAGACATTGCTACAATCACATCTAAATACCGAGCCACCATAGGACCCCAAAAGTCTTCTTCGCGCGAGACTTTGGCTTCATCCAGTGGCAATACGATTAGTGGTTTTGGCATAGGCGAGAAGAGAGGCTTCTCTTCAGATGTTTCCGCCTCAAGTGGAAGTTCTGTATCTGATGAAACACAAGCAAAGCGACTTCCAGCATGGAATCAATGGCGAGAGCCCAACAAGTAATTACTTTGCCGTTATATCATGAATGTTGTTAGCATCAAGAGTGCTCTCTTGGAAAAATATCAGCCTCTCATATTTTCTACAATAATCGAAGGGTTTGAAATCTTGAGTTCTTCGTTGCAGGCTAGAATCTATTGTATGCTATGTAGGATATGTGCAGGGGAAATGGCATGTATTATTGTTCTACGAGAGATACGTAGGTTAGCTAGGATTGGTGGGCAAACAACTGATGCGTATAACTATGTAGCAACCATTTATTGGAGTTATAAAAACTTCGTTAACAAAAATTGTTGTGCAGTCTGATGTAAAAATTGTGCAAAGTACACCTATGACATAGCAATGAAAGTCCGAATTTTGGCAATGAAGTAATCCCTCAGACAGATTCAGCTGACTGAAAAGGCGGACTTGTGTCTCAACTTCCCCACACCTATAGTTTCGACTCGTTTTTGCCCCATACAGGCATATCCAATTCTGTTGTGCAAAGAATGAAAGTATCCTTCAAACTTCCCACCCTATGTCTGTGATTTACTTCCTGATAATCTTCACTAGCCAACATATCTGCAAAATGTTCAATGCTTGGATAATGTGCCACGGCAACTTCATCCCATTCACCTCTTTCTTTTGAGTCTCCCTCATGTATCACAGTTCCCACTATTTTGGCAATACCACCTCGTTTCGAACCAATGGACTTTGCAAATTCAGCTCCATATTTCAAATATTCGTCTTTGAGCCCAGGTTTGAATGCTAGGAGATTGAGCATAGAAACTGCACCTCGCCCTTCTTGGTTTCTATAGGTTTTGATCCATTCCATTAATGGAGGAGAAAGCTCGAGGGACTGAGCCGAAGCTTTCGCGCGATAGTTGTTTAAGCTTCCTGTTAGGGGCGGTGTGTCTTCAGGTCGTGGATCAAGCAGTCTTCTATTCTTCGACGCAAAATCATGAAGTAATCGTGAAGGTATTCCAGCTGTCACCTGCCATTGATGAAGGATAAGCTTTTGTAGTGAGGCTGGAAGAATGTCTGTATTGGGCAAGATCATCAGAATATCCCAATGGATATTACGTGCGATAAGTGGGTCGATCGATATGGATGTCGGAAGAACGATCCAACGCACAACCCGCCCAATTGTGAGTGGGGTGAGAGAAGTCGTTGAAAGGGCTGAGAGGAAATCGGCAACGGTGACGGAGAGAGAAAGCAGATGAAGTGTGCAGGCTGGCATGTTTGCTGTGTTGTATGGGTAGGCTAGATATGGTATATGCCACCAATGTGTATTAAATCATATACTAGGCACCTCGTATGGTATGTATGAGAGGACAACGATACAATAAAGGATCTAGAAGACAATGAAGGGAGATGTTGAAGTTACCTACTCGAGTAGTAGGAAGATAATGCGTCGCGGAGCTCATCATAACAAGCCCAATCCAACGGTATGATGCCGATGCCCCTCACTAGATAAGGCCTAAAATTGAGAAAACCGAGGCACAGACAGCCCCTTCATTTTCATTTGTCCTTTCCCCCAGCCCTTCAAGCCATTCAATCAAGCATCAACATCAACCCATTGAGTCTGAAAGCTTTAGGAATTCCTTGCTCAATGGCATACCGGTATGGCTTCAAGTGAATTGAGATGATGGACAATCAAATCAATGGACCAAAGTAGTTGATGTCTGTGTGTAAAGTATATACTCTACGATACTAGCTAAGAAGTATCTCATGATGGAATTAGTTTCCGCAATGTTGTTCTCACATGCATCCAAGGCGACTAGGATAAGCATCGATGGAGCTAATCACGGTTATCACTAGGTCAACGAATAGGAAAAACTTCCCTTCATGTCAATAATGATCATGGCTGGTCTGGAACTCGTGTTTATCGTGTTTATCGTCAGAACGGGGCTGGAGACTGGGTCACACTAATGTTTTCATGAAGATGTTTTGTATCACTTACTGTTCAATACAGACGAAGTTTACATCTGAACGACAGCAGCATACTTCAATTGAGACCTGACTGACAAGAGGGCTGGCTCGAGGAGAATCAGTGCTGAGCTGCACAGCTCTCCACTCTCAATTTGCAATTCTTACTGGCGACAATAATGTGATTGACATCGACAAGTAAAATAGCCTCCGCCAGCATATTTATTTTCCAACCTTCATTTTCAGATTCATTTTCAAATTGAGATTCAGGTTGAGATTCAGATTCAGATCAAGCATGAAACCCGATTTATCGCCTGTCCTTTGGACATTGATAAGTCTCACAACTATCGCAAATTCGCAGACCTTACCATACAATCCTACCACGATACTTCTTCCATCGAGCGCAAGCCAAAGGAACGACACTGCGTTTATCTTCCTCGTCGCCTCCGAATCAGACACTCGACCTGAGTTTTTATCTCTAAATATATCTTCAACCTTGTTCGCTTCCAATCTCACATTAGAACCCTTCGCACCTAATCTTTCGTTTCTCGACAACAATACTGCCTTTATACCTACGATTGGGACGGACGGCGAAATTTCATTGCTTACTGGTTCTTGTTCAGAATCTGCCAGCACTGAGCTATGGACTTATACACCTGGAAATGAGGCTGTCGGGAATGGGACGTGGGCGAAAGAGACGACCATTGTGGCCAGCGATGTCTCCTCTGCTGGTCGCGCAGGCGCGCAATTTTTGTCGGGTGGATTCCAGTTCTCTACATTAGTTAATGCGAATGCTACATATACGGATATCTATATATATGGTGGCATGTGTCCCAGTTCTTCGGCGAATATATCGACATGGCAATCGAACGCGAATTATACGAACCATATGATGCGAATATCACCTGGATCGACAGATTCGTACAGTTTGGATTTAACTGCTAATAGAGGAGCACCTGTTGCTGAGGCGGGATTTACTATTACGCCTCTACTTCCTGCGTATTCGAATGCTTCGGGGATTATGACACAAACTCAGAATTTTATACTTCTTGGTGGACATACACAAGGCGCATTTATAAACATGAGCCAAGTTGCTATTTGGAGTCTTCCCGTGGAGAGTTGGAGTTTCGTCACAATCGACCCACCATCCTTGACAGAGAGTTCCAATACAGAATTGACAGTAAAAAGTTCAGTAACCAGTGTCGATAGTCGTTCAGGGCACACGGCAATTTTGACAGAAGATGGATCTAAAGTCATTGTTTTGGGCGGATGGGTTGGTAGCGTTAATCAAGCTGCCGATCCACAATTTGCTATATTGGAACTTGGGACGGGCTATGGAGGAACTGGTCGATGGAAATGGTCGGTACCTGCGGATCAGCCATTTGGAGATGGTATTTATGGGCACGGTGCAACAATGCTTCCTGGAAACGTTATGATGGTACTGGGTGGATTTAATATAACAGCCACCAATAATATGAAGAGAGCTGTTGACACAACTGTCCAACCCATGTTTTTCAATGCTACAAGCTCCACTTGGATTTCGAACTACACCAATCCAGCATATGTCGCGACTAATGCTCGAAGCAGTTCTTCATCATCGGATTCCTCAAAAGTCGGCCTTGGCGTAGGACTCGGATTGGGTATCGCTGCATTCATTGCTATCGTTGCAGGACTTAGTTGGTGTTTGATTCGCTGCAGGAAGAAGCGTAGAGATTCGAGGCATGAGAGGAGGGAAAAAGACCTCAGGTCTCTTGGCTACAACGCAGCCACTGCATACCCAGGCCCACAGGAAATATATCAAAATCATGACTATTCTGATCGCCAAAATCATTATCATGACTCGGGAAACGCAGCGGGGGGATATGGAAGCCTGTATGCAGGCGAATATCGCGCGGGAGAGATTGGCTCTCCCACGCTTCAACCTCGGCAAATGCCCAGGAAAGCTGTACGAAACAATCGAGGCCTTTACCAGCCTGCTTCGACCTTCGACCCTGGTTCAGTAGCTGGAAATCCTAGAGCAGCCAATATTGGTGCAGCTGGGCCGATACATCCTATATACGAAGCAGACGAGGACGCTGATATTATTTCCCCTATTGAAATTGGTATTGCTCTTCCATTCGAAGAAAGCGACGCTTATTTTGGTGCGAAGCGACGGTTGGATCCATTTAAAGATCCAGTTACTCAAAATTATTCAGTACCTGTACAATCCAACAGCCAAAATGTCACCATGCCTGTCCCAGAATCCCCGGCGCAAGAACGAGAACGTGAGATCGAAGCATGGGTTGCAGACTGGGCGGCTGCAGATGCCCTCCTTCACGCTCAAGCCAGATCGCATTCAACTGTTGGGAGAAGTTCTCCTTCTCGACGGGCAAACTTGATCACAGCGACTGGTCCAGCCTCTGTTTCAGGGGAACTTTCTGAAGACAATGCTCGAACAGCCAGTAACCTCAGCGAGCAAAGTATGGCTCCCACCGCTGCTACTTTAAGTCGGTCAGGATCCAGTTCCCTGGGAACAAGATCAAATTCACTTCGAGGCTATTTAACATACGCAATGAATACCATTAGTTTAGGAAATGCTACTCTGAGTCCGATGCCCGACAGCCCTGTCGCACAAAATGCCCAGATTTGCCCTCCGGGGAGTTCCGGTAGCGAAAATACCGGTTCAACTTACACCACCGCTCATACGCAATCTAGCTTTCCTACCCTGCAGGCAGAAGCAGCAACATTACTCCCTCGTCCAGAGCAGTTTTCTGACAGGGGGCCCCCGTCTCCCACTGAGTCCTCTTCCAAATCATCACCGCACACACCCACTAGGATGCCACATGATTACATCGGCAGTCCATCAAAGAACAAGCACATAGGCCTTGGTAGACGTGGATGGTTGGGAAGTCTACGCAAAGCTTTCAGACCTGAAGGTGATACTGCGGCGGAAACTAGTCTTGCAGATAGAGAGCCAATTCCTCCTCCAATCGGTGTTGATAACTCGCCAAGAAGAACTGTGAGTGCTGGTGCAGCTTTATGGAGGAGGAAACAGGGTAGAGGGGACTGGGAGGATAGTGAGAACATTGGTGCCAAGCGTGGGAGATCTAGTTCATTTGTTAATGGCGGTCGGTCGAGTGTACAGATTTCAAGGACTAGTGAGGCTAGAGGGCTTGTAAATGGGATCGATGAAGATGATGAAGAATGGGATATTGAAAGAGCGATTGAGGATCGGGTGGTACAAGTCATGTTTACCGTGCCCAAGGAGAGATTGCGCGTCGTCAATCATGATGTTCGTGAAGATTTGAGCGAGGGAGGGAGTATGAGAGGAAGAAACATAGGAGCTAGTGGAAGCGGAACTCTAAGTCGAACCCCTAGTGAAATCTTGAGTATCGAAGATGGCAATAAATTAGCTAAAACGGAAAGCGCTGAAAGCGGGAGGAGCAAGGGACGGGTAAAAGGCAAAGGAAAAGTGTCGGAATTGGTGGAAATGCTCGAGGGTCGTAGTAGTCCTGAGCGTCCGTGAGTTTGTATTTGTACTTTTCGGATACGATGTGTATGATTGATGTTTTTATGCGACTTAGGGCATGATTATGACCCTCTTTTGATTTTTAGCGGCATTGGGTATGAGAGGTGGCTGGGTTCTGTCCGCTTTTAGGTACTAGAAATGCGTTTCTCCTGGGATGATTTGTGCTTAAGTTGAAGACTACATACCCGTTGGACAAGATTCTGCTTTGAGGTGCATGATTGAGATTTTCTATCTGTCAGTCACTACTAATTTATTGTTCATGTATGTAATTAAATCTAAGAGATTTGGAATCAAAAAGATGTATTTAGATTCACTTACGGTCTACAAACAAGATTGTAGGATGTTACATTATTCAAGAATCCCAAGGAGGCTGAACTTTGAAAATCCAACAGTTTGAGGTGGATTGTGTAGTATCATCAACGTCAAACTGAGTTCTAGTGGAACCAGTCTTGATATCATTGAAAATTTCAAGCTGCTTGTGGCTTCCGAGGCCCAACGGCAAGATGCCATACAAGCTTGATTTGCAAGTAAAATGATTTGCATGTGCTTCTCATGGGACCTTGGGAAGAAGAAACAGTGAATGGGTATATGGAGATGAGCCTCTGAAGTCAAAGAGTTTGATATTTTCATCTTCTCATTCACTTCACGAGAATTCTTAGGAGAGCAGGAACTTGGAATTTATATCATACAGATATTATTTCTCTGCTTTGCTACTGTGGAATATGATGTAATAAGCTTTGGAAAGACGTGGCTAACTTCCGAATTCTGTGCAAATCCAATAACCAAACTAACCTGTAATTTGAGGCTTTTGATAACACGACGGTGAACCAGATTGGCAATATTCTACCATAATTTCCCATTCACCTTCTTGATACGCCAATCAATATATGAGCCATAATCTCAATATCATTCACCTTTCGCCTAGCGCCAAACTGTACCGCACCATCACAAACTTCTTGTTTATAAGCTTCCAAGAGTTCCCCATCTGTCTTCCTTCTTTCTTCCAAAAACAACTTCAGAACTGCAAACGAAAAATCAAATTAACAACAACATCACTTTCGTTTATCAACCACTACAAATAAACAACCTTCTTACTTAACACATCTCTCAAAAGTAATCATTATGTCTATCATCCAGAAAGTCACCATGTTCGCGCTTTTCTTTGTCGCACTTGTTCTCCCTGTCAGCGGCGCTGGTCAAGTTGTTCGTGGTGTTGCATGGGCTACTGAGTCAACCACTTGTAGTATGGCCTTTTAATATACATGTTATAATCTTAAAGATCGAAATACTGACAGCATATCTTTTATAGCCACTGGATCTGTCGAGACACTCGTCCCCATCGTCCTCCCATCCTCTGCTCCGGCTTCCGAGACGACTGCTTACACTTCCTCTGCTCCCGTCGAGACTCTCGTTCCAACCGTCATTAAATCCTCTCCATACGCTCCTTCTATCTACGACACCACTGCTTACTCCTCATCTGCTCCTACCGACACCCTCGTTCCAGTCGTCATCACCTCGGTTCCAGTCACCAACACTCTTACCAGCACTCAAACAACCAGCTCTTTGGAAATCCTCTCTCCAATTTCCAGCACTTCTGCTTCCGGTTACCCTTCCGTTTCCCCTAGCGTCGTGACTGGCACATACGCCAACTCCACCTCCGTTGTTCCATCCACAACTCTCACCAGCACCGCTGCTTCCACCACCATCAAGACTTCGGCTACGAGCTCTGGACCAGCTAGCAGCACCAGCAGCACTGTTGTTCACACCGGTGGAGCCATGGAGGCCAACACCATTTCAGGTGGCTTGCTCGTCGCTGCCTTTGCAGCTGCTTATTTCATCTAAAGCCACAATGCTATGCCATAAGTTGCGATTGGGGAGGATATTTCATTTGCCTATTTGGTGGAGGAATGAATATCATTCGGAACATTGGGAAGCAAGTTTCTTTTGTATTGCGTTGAGGGATGGCGTGCATTGTGCGTCAATCAGGAAGGGATGTTCTTATGAGAACAATGTGTATAATAAATAGAGTAGATACAGATGGTATCCTTATGATACATATTTGTTTCTAGATCTATCTCACACATTAGTTCTCCAAAAATAAGTAACCTTGTTTACTTAACATGATCACTATAAATTGCATATGTGAAGTGAAGTTCAAATGTGAAATCTGTCTTACACTACCGCCTAAAACCTACCACATACAGAATCTCGAGTGCTTTACTACAGAACTTGATTGCTTTGAAGTTCTCTTACGTTCGCCTACGGCCATTCCCGCAACTACAACCATGTCAATCACACTCCAACTAATTTAGTACCTGCATATTCGCAGCAACGCCCTAAAATGCAGGTGTTAAGTAACCACATCTTCAACCGCTGTCTACCCCACGTTAAACCTGCACACCAATAACAATTTCCCATCCCATCTCATCTCATCCCTCTCACCCACAAACAACCATCACTACCAAACCCATCGACTTCACATTCCCCGGTTCTCCACACCTCCACATTCTTCCCGTCACCCTCACAGGATCTTTGAACTCAGCGTAGAACGCAGACTCACTCTCGGTCCGTTGGTTCTCGCAAAACTTAAACGCAATCCGGAGATAGAGCTCTATTTGTGATCTTCTCCGACGCGGCAATTCTCTCCCTGGAAGTGCGGGGTGCGAGGGCTGAGAAGGACCGAATGTTAGTCTGTTTGCGGGGTGGGGGATATCATGTGTAGGTGTACTGGGGTGTTTTTTCTTCGATGTGTGTTCTTGGATGGAGAGACGGGATGGGCGAAGGACCGATTAGCTGCTTGCGCGACTGGGTGAAGATGAGTGGTGGAGGATGGTGGAATGTTGATGGTGATTGAGGAGCGAGATGGATAGGAGAGTGTGACTCGGGCTCTGTTGAGGACTAGTAGGTGTAGGTTCTGCCGTCTTGGCGGTTGGGCCTGTTGTCTGTCTGGGAGGAAGATATTGGGAATGGATAGATGAGGGTTGGTGGAATGGTTGGGAGTTTCTTGAGAGTTTTTCTCTGATTCTGTCCTGTGTTTGATACTTGGGAATATAGGGTTTGTTGTCTTCATTCCTGTCTGGTAGCTTCATGTCGTTCTCATGGCAATGGAGAGACTTTAATGTTTTTCATCCTGCTAATCGTGGGAGCTAAACTCATAGCTCTAGAGTTTTACTTGGAATTTCCTAGTGGCGTGTAAACCACTTACATATGATTAATCTTCAATAATGCTTTTCACATACTGCAAAGTTCAGATATTACCGGCTTGGCGTAATATAATTCTCAAGATTTTTCATCATCAACAGTTTATCCTAGGTTCCGGATCTTACAATACCTATTATCTAAGCATGAATTGGAAAGTCTTGCATGTGTGTAGATTCGTAGCTTGTATTGAGCCTTTGCTAAGGTCTCACTAGGAACTATAAAGAAGAGTCAAAACCCCTATGGCCTTTGAAAGAACAAGTTTATCTTCTTTCTTCCCTTCCAAGTGTCCTGTATAGAAAAGACATTGAAGGATATACTATATGACCTATATGACAATGTCAAGATCTATTAGCATTCTATATGTGCTGGCAGCAGCCAACTTGGCTTCTTTAGTAGATGGACATGGATATATGAACATCCCCTCTAGTCGAACCAGCATCGGCCATTCAGTAAGCTTCCATCACCCTATCTCCATTCCCACATTAACAATCGAAGGTTGGCATCGACACATGTCCCGAATGCACAATTCTCGAGCCCGTCACCTCGTGGCCCGATCTCAACACCGCACCAGTTGGACGCAGCGGTCCCTGCGGCTACAACGCTCGGGTCAGCGTTGACTACAATTACCCCTCCACAAACTGGGGTAACACACCCGTCACCACCTACACAGCCGGCCAAACCGTCGATGTACAATGGTGCGTGGACCACAACGGCGACCACGGCGGCATGTTCAGCTGGCGCATCTGTCAAGACCAATCCCTCGTGAACAAACTCATCACTGCAGGCTACATGCCCACGGCCGCCGAAAAACAAGCCGCGGAAGGTTGTTTCGACGCGGGCCTTCTCCCCTGTACCGATGTGACCGGCGCCACCTGCGACTACAACGCCGATTGCACGCCCGGACAAGCATGTTATCGCAACGACTGGTTCACCTGCAAGGGATTCAACAGCGGCACGTGATGTCAAGGTGTGGATAGCTCTGCGCTCGGCTCCTGCTATACTTCCATCGCGGGCGGATATACCGTGACCAAGAAAGTCAAGATCCCAAACTACGCGTCGAATCACACGCTCATTTCTCTGAAGTGGAATTCCTTCCAGACGGGCCAGATCTATCTGACCTGTGCCGATATCGCCATTGTTGGTTCTGGCAGCGGTGGAGGTAGCGGCAGCTCCCGAACTACCACGAGCAAAACATCTTCCACCTCTACATCCACCACCCTCAGCACATCCACCAAACCTACCACCAGCGCCACCGCAAGCACAAGCACAAGCACAAGCCCAAGCAAAAGCACAACCTGCCCCTCCACCCCCACACTAATCCCCATAACCTTCACCACCCTCCGCACGACCACCTACGGGCAAACCATTAAGATCGCCGGCTCGGTCGACGCCCTCGGAAACTGGGATGTTTCCGCCGCCGTCGCCCTCTCCGCCGCCAACTACACAGGTGCGCATCCCGTGTGGACGGGAACCGTCTTGTTGCCGCCGGGTCAGGTGGTGCAGTACAAGTATGTGAATGTGGGGAGTGGGGGGACGCCGACGTGGGAAAGTGATCCGAATCGCGTGTTTGCGGTGCCGGCGGGTTGCGCGACGAAGGGGTCGGTGGGGGATACTTGGAGATAGAGTGGAGGGGGAGAGGGAATGCTGTGTTGAGTTGGGGGGTGGATCTCGTTGTTAGTGAGCACGCAATGCGGATGTTGAGATATTGCATATTGTTATCTCATTTGATTGTAAAATTCCCGGACTTTTCTTGTTCTAGTGTTGAGAATAAAACTCTGAATTCCCATCAAAAAATCAAGAACCAAAGCTTCTTAACAGAAAGCAAACACGTGCAGATATTCATCTTTCCATGACATTAGCTAGGTACATAGGATCTTAAACTCTGCAAATCTACCACCGCTCTTATACAAACAATCAAACAGCACATCCTAAGTTCTAGGGCTTCTCAAGAATCCCACCACACCTCCACACCAACCTACCAAGTCTCCCAATCTCGCACCTTCGTTCTCCTGTTGCGTTTTCCATTCCATGACTGCATTTCTCAGCTCCTCGCTACTAGCTACTTCCTCGTTGTGTAATTTTAAGAATACAGCCATCCATGCTTGTACTAATTCGTAATCTCTCTTTTGTGAAAGACGTGAAGTAAGTGCGTGGATGAAGTGGATCAATTCGTTGGAGGTAGGTGAGAGGGAGCGGATTTCAAGATCAGCAGCGGATGGAGAGAGAGTTTTGAGATGATCGATGAATGGTGTATCTGTGACATGTTAGCATAATGATAGGTACATGAGGGAGGGAAAGGGGGATTTTGAAGCTTACAATCACCTGACTCGCCGCCAGATCGGAGAGTCACTGTAAAGGAGCGTTCGGCAGCAACGCGGTCGAGTTTCATGATGCGTGATCTTTCGGCGGCGCTATCTGTCGATTTTTGTTCTTGAGTTGATGGACCTGCCGCGGAGTCGATTGATGGAAGAAAGAAAGGTGCCTTTTCTGGTAATTTTGGTGCTTCTGTGGGCTTGTTACGAGCTTTGATAAGATCTAGATGAATCAGAGTCTGCCATCTACTCTTTGGAACCACACTGAGAGTCATCATGTCTTTGCTTAGTTGATCCAGCGACAAAGCAGGTGCGGAATCCTCAGCACTCTCATCCTCATCTTGGAATGCGCCATCAATGACGTTATGGCCGCCTTCACCGGAAACAGTTGGTGCTGTGATAGAAGCAATTTCTTTCTCGGAAATATGTCGAGTAGGAACATGTGTGAAAAGAGTTTTGTTGTTCCAGAGATTGACTCCAACTTGTCCTGCGCATGTCGTGGCTAGGAATTCTCCTGTTCCAGAAAAGGCGAGCGCAGTGCATTGAGTTTCCATTCGCATTGCATCAATTAGATGGCCAGTCGGAAGATCCCAAACTCGAACCACGCAGTCTTTCGAGGCTGCAATGACCCATCGTCCATCATTAGAAAAGCACATATCATTGATACCCCCTTGGCACCCCCATAATTCTCTGATGGTCTTTTTGGTCTCGATGTCAACAATTCGAATAGACAAATCATCACACGAGACAGCAATGAGATCGTTCGGCGCATGGTATCTCATTCCTGTGATAGATACCATTGGGAACCAATCAATTTCATCGACAAGGTTACCAGTTCCAAATTCCCAGAATTTAATCTTGCCATCGAGAGAGCAACTGATGATATTGCGGTTCAGTGAATCAACAACCACGCCCGTTACCGCTTTTCTGTGTTTACCAAGTCCAGGTTGAAAGTTCTTTACCGTCTCGGAAAATATCTCCTTGCCAGTCTCGGCAGCCTGTAATTGCTGAATTTTTAACTTTCTTGCTTGTGCGGGTGTAAGTTTTGAGGGGTATCGTTGTCGGTGGAGACCAGACTGAAGGTTAAACATATCAAGTCCACCAGTTTCTGATCCAACAACTGCAAAGGTGCCACATGGACTGATAGCAACGCTTCGGACATTTCCACCATCACCAGTCTCAAATACCCATCGTCCCGCCTTCTTCCTTCCCCAAAACCATGTTCGGGCGAATTTGTCATCTTTGTGACCAGTGACCACGCTTTCCCATCCCGTGACCCCACTTGCTGTCGCATCTGTACCCTTCTTTTGCAGATGGCCCTTTTGCCAAATCGCCCCAGTTCCAGGATGTGCGCCCATTCCACCGTCTCGATTTAATGACGATGCCAGACATACAATCTCCGGTGCTTTAAGATCCTCAAGGGTCGTGCTAGGCTCATTTGCCAATGTAGATTGGGCTAGTATACCCATTTTCTTCGCCTTCTTTCGTATATTTCCTTGGCTCAATTCTGTACTTTGTCCATCCTTTCGAAGACTCCATCCCCACAAGCTTCGATCTTTACCAGCACTTAGCAGCCATTTTCCACCTGCATCCGCACCATCCGCATCAGTAGGTAAAAATTGAAGGTGCGTGACTGGCGCAGCGTGCCCACTGCGCGAGTGCAAAATTCGTGGTATTGGCGAGTAGGGCGATTCATCGAAGATCCAAGATTTCAAAGAGTTATCCAAGCCGCTGGTGACTAGGACAGGCTGCCCAGAGAGGAATTCGGCCTTGCTCAATCCTCCACTAACTGTCGCGCCAGAGTCGGAAGGTGGATTATGGGCACCTCGAAGAACACCCATAACTTTACCACCCCCATTAAGATCCCAGAATGTCACATCGCCATTGTCGGGTCCTGCAGTAGCCATTACACCGGGCTTTTTGCCATCCTCCCCAGCTCCAAGATCATCTGTCCGGAAAGATATTGAAGTGATAGTGGACTCAGATCCGCCATTGAGATGGATGACTGTCTTATCTGTTCGCACGTTGTGAATTATGAGAGGACCTTCGGAGTATGCGATCGCTAGAAGAGATAATGCTGGTGTGGGTTGTAGAGCGGTTACAGCTCCACAGTTTGGACCTGGTGGTAACAGGGTGTAGATCAGTTTCCCGGAGCTGACATTCCATATCTCAACTCCACCATCTTTCCTTCCAGCGAATATTTTATTTAAATATGTTGGCATATTACAGATTCCTCCAGTAATCTCGTTTCCACCTTTCTGCGCCGCGGTAGTGTGCAAAGTCGTATAATGTTCGTATGTCGAGGTTTTCCAGACTTCTATCCTGGTTGAACAGCATCCTACTATCCAGGTGCCAAAGACCAAAATCTGCTTGATTGGCTCCTTTAGATCTGCTGGGAGTGGTATTTCCTCAATCCTCTTTCCTCTCTTGAATACGCAGAGACCCTGGTTACCATCTTCGTCCTGACCTCCCCATGCGGCGAAGACTTTATCTTTCCATGCTATTGTAGCGGTTATATCTGCTGGTGTCTGTGGTCTGGTGAGGAAGACTAGGTTGAGCCCTCTCTTGAGGTCGTACGTCTGTAAACATCTTCCTACGGAGGTTGTGATTTGAAATGTGGTTTTGCCGAGTGGAATCGAAGTGAAGGGAACGGCAGTTGAAGACACTAGACCAATTGTCTTGTTATGGAAGTCAGCAATATGGTCAATTGGGAGAAAGGGGAGGACCAACACGAAATGGAGTAAAGATTCTCGATTCTCTCAAAGTTTTCTTGGGCGCATCGGCAACGTCCAATTTTTGTCTTTTTACAATTGGACCATCTTGAACATTGGTAGCAAGCGATGAAGGCATCCTAACAAGTTAAAACACTATTTTCTATATCAAATGCGCTTGCTTGTTGTTTGCGCCGGTGTTCTTGACGGGAACCAATATGATGCAAAAAAATCAATATTTCTGTAGTATGGATGGTGAACTTTTTTTTTCTTCTACCATGTAATCAATTAATCCCTGTACCTATCTGTACTAGCTGGAGGCTCACAGACATGAGTGAGGCGTGGGGAAGAGCCGGGCCCCAGCTATCACTGGAAACAGCCTTATCGTAGAAGTGAGACAGCGATAATTATTGTTACTGTCAGCCACTGGCTTACTACTCCATAGGTCCACGGTAGGTAGGTGCCTACTAGGTACCTACCTTTCTATATCTGTATTCACTCCCTCCTTCACTCACAACACAACATAACATATCATATCATCCATACATCAGTTCCCCAATACATGAGTGAATGTTATCCTCTCCTGACACCTAGAGATCTAACTCCCGTCTCACACATCTTTGTCAATGCTACCTCTCACACATACATCTTCGTCAATGCTGTCTAATCGATACCATCTCATTCGTCGTCTTATCCTTTGAATTTCCTTTTTCCTCTTGCTTGCCGCATTAATCGTCATCTGCCACGATAAGATTGTGTAACCTGGAAAAATGAAAATATATCCTTCTCTCCCTCCCATTCACTTAAACTGCCAGCATTCAATATTGGTAGATCCACAGTAGTATAGCCCATGATTTGTTTGCTTTCTCATGTCCAAGTCCTGGTTTCAATTTCCAGTTCCCGTCCTTCAAGAGTTTGACAGTAGTTTCCAAACTACACATCTAACCCAATATATGCACTCCTCAGATACCCGTGGACCTGCTGATAACAATTTCCCGCAATCATGGCACGAAAAGGTGAGAGCGCAGTGATGGAAACTAATGATCCTAGTACCGATAAACAGGCGGTCGGATTTTCAACATTCAACAAATCCAATTCTTCAAGCCAAGAAGTACAATCAACAAAGGACTTGAGCCCCAAATCTAAAGTGAGAAGGGCCTCTCTCAGCTTATCGTCCGGCAGTGGCATTCTTGCGTCATTGAGCAGGAAAGGGAGGCACGCAGAACCATTGATACACGCAGAACTCAATTCCGAACGAGCAAGTATTTCTATGCCACCACCTCCTACAAGAACATTATCAAAGTCTAGAACATCGTCTACATACAGCCAAAGATCGCCGGCTGCATTGGCAGTTTTGGAAGAAAGCTTAAACTTAGAAGGGACAGGAACTAGTCATCAAGATTTTGCTGTTGAGGAGTCTGGGCCCCTAAAGACGAATTTACCAATGGCGGAAGAACAAACCCCCAAAACAAATTTAACAATGGCAGACGATAGCAAGAGTGTGCCGGTACCACTTCCTGAGCCTACTCTTCGACCCCGAGCATCAGTTGCGGAGATGGATGGAAAACGAATGTCAGTATCCTCAATGTACTCTTTAGCA